TTTTTGATAAGAGTCAGTTGTCTTTGTTTGACTTACGCTCAGACTGTACTTTTCATGTAATCGATTTGGTTTCATTTGGTGACCAACAATTACCTATGTGTCGGATGATGCTTCAAGAAATGATTGATTTATTGACTCAAGGTAGATTAAAAGCAATCGAGCCAACGGTCATTTATGAACCGTCTCAAGTAATCGAAGCTTTTATGAGGTCTAATAATGCGCAAACAATGGGTAAAGCTGTTGTTCGTTTAACTTCGTCTGAACAGCCACTACATTTGAATATCAATCAAATAGAGAAGTTACCAGAAGGTAATCTTTATTTGTCTTTCATTTCACTTCTAATGAGTTTTTCTAGATAACGATACTATGTTTCCTTTGAATGTCTGTAACAATGGAACAATTCTAATATCTGGTGGTTTTGGCGGTCTTGGATTGACAATGTCTCGTTGGATGATAGAGAAACATGGTGTTAAACATATAGTATTGATGAGTCGTCGAACTTTAGTTGAACTTGAACAACCTTCTAATCCACAATATGATGATTGGTTACGATTGAAACGAACAGTAAATGAATTGAATGCTCATGTTGATGTTGTACAAGCAGATGTGACAAATTTTCAACAAGTTCATGATCTTATTTTAAGACTGAATCAAAGTTCTTATCCTGTTCGAGGTATTATTCATAGTGCTGTTATTGCAGAAGATCTTACTCTCAGTAATTTAACACAAGAGCATATAGCACGTGTTCTTGCACCAAAGGCCCGCGGTGCTTGGATTCTTCATCAAGTAACACAACTTACTCATACTCCTCTTCATTTTTTCATTATGTTTTCATCAATTCGAAATCATCTCCTTGAATTGGCATCTGCCGGTTACAATGCCGGTAATCAATTTCTTGATGCTCTTGCACATTATCGCATGCAAAAACTTAATCTACCAGCTCTCTCTATCAGTTTACCAGCAGTAAGCGGTGCTGGCATGTTTCATAGACAACGAGAGTGGTTAACAAGTTTTCAAACGACACAAGGCTTTGAATTAGTACCAACAGTGATTGTATTTGAATTGATAGAACATTTTTATAAACATCAGAATACTTGTCCGTGTCCTATTATTTTTGCGGTTAATTGGCAAACATTGTATGAAAGACGACACAAACTAGCAACATTCCAGTTAACTCAAATCGCACAGCAACGTTATGTTGAAATGAAGCTCAGCAACACATCTATATCATCGAAAATCGACGGTACGGCTAATTCTGACTTGAATCAAAAGGAAACTATTATTGAGCGAACTCAGGAAGCTGTAGCACGTCTCTTAGGTGCAGTCAGTGTCGATCGTATATTAATTGATCGTTCACTTGTGAGTCAAGGCATGGATTCATTAGCTGCTATCTCACTATACAATTGGTTGGGACAAGAAACTGGTGTCTATATACCATTAGCTGATCTTCTTCAAGGATATTCTATTGAAAGAATTGCTACAGTTATATATAATAAGTTCCACGATCAACAACAAGTTACCACAGCAATTGCTGAAGAACATAATGTAGACTCTGATCTGATCGATGAAAATAATATCACATTATCTAACATTTCCATACACACTAGTACAGAGAATATCATTTGTCTTCAACGTCCGACTCAAATCAATAGTTCTATTCTCTTCTATATTGCGGAGCAGGCAATAACGAATACTGACGAGTCCTTTGCACTATTTATGCACAAATTATCTAGACAACAAAGTCAAACAGTATCAGCCACCATCTATGCTATTCAAATACCGTTAACGATATCGGATACAAGTACATCTGCTTGTGCTCAAAATATGATCGCACAAATGCGTCGAATTCAACCACGTGGACCTTATCAGCTAGTGACGAATCGCAACAAACAAGAAGAAACCATTGCACATGAAATGATAAGACAGCTTAACAATCATTCAATGATAATCGATGTTCGATTATTTCTTTTGGATGATTAGAATTAAATTTGTTACCAATTACTACTCTCTGAACATTGATGGTCGGGTCAGTTTGAACTCTTTTTTTTGTTTACTAATTCTAATACTTACAAGATATCACACTATATAAGTACTTATAGAAACTTAAATGCTGAAAAGTAGAAAAATGACAAGTAAAAATCTACAAAAATTTAGTATTCTTCAATATTACTTATAAAAAAATAGAACATTGTGCAAAAATCTTTTTTCTTAGCTTAACTAACATATTTTTGACAGAAAAATTTGAGCTCTATCATAGCGAACAGCAAGAGAAACTTATCGACTATTGAGAACCTTTATATAAACTAGTGGAAAGAAGTTTAACAACAACTATATTTTTTATATGTGTTTGGTAGGGTATAATAGTATAGGAGTTAATATTTATCATCAATAGATAAGAACTGTAACTTCTTTATTGAACCTGATCACACTGAAAACTCTTTCTGTATTGCACAACTAAGATATTTTTTCAGATAGAGCAAGAAAATTGACTATCAATGATCCAAAAATTAAACGAGTTTTCAAATCGAAAATCTGCATCCTATATGTTAGAGTTTTAGGATTTGGTGCATTCCTATTCACCACTATTTTTATGAGTATAATGAATCGAGAACAGTGACAGACACATTAAATTATTAAAAGAACAATGGATTGTGATCATCAGATTAATTAACGTATGAATTGATTATGATAGAAGAAAACTTTGCCAATTATTTCTGATATATATTTTCACGTGTATTTTAAGGCATGACTGTTACCTAGTTTGGATCTGAATCTAGTAGAATAAATTCCATATCATGCAAGTAAAATAGATGTTTTCCTTACTAATTGTCTTTGAATGGGTATTTTATTATGTTTCCTAGATATAAACACATCAATATTGGCATATTTTAAGCTGTAATTTTACTAAAGTGTATGTTTCCTCAATGGATTTGCTATTCAATTTATGAGTTTATTTTGAGTGACTGTTATTGAAATAGTGAGTTTTATCCCTGCGATATTTTCGTTTATCTTCATTGATTGATTTGTTCATTAATATAATAACGAAAATAATTGTTTAGTAATAAAAAACTCCCAACTTGTCTAGTATTCTATGTTTACTTATTATAGTGTGATATTTATTCCAGAAATAGTTTTATGATTTTTTTTTCTTTAGCTAGTTATTCTGTATACTAAGAATCTTAAAATAATATATTTTTTTCCTATAATTTAATACAATACTACAACGACTTGTTCTGTTTTTCTCATGTGATTGTGATACATCATGATATGATGATGCGTGTGAATTTCCTATTTTATCGATAAGTAACTGCTGTTATACTTATATAATGTAGTCCTTTACTCTCTTTTTCATTCGTTTTTCTTTCCTATTATTATCATGAACACTGTTTATTTTTTTGCACGTTAGGTATACACCAGCACTAGTTCACTGGATATATGTATATGTTAATTGGTCTACGGTTAGTTATATCATCGACAATTTCTGCTATTAGAATAGATTATAATCATAGAGTTTTGGCGCCTCTGATATGACTATGAGTGGAATTTTGAGTGAATCCACTACAATAAAAAATCATTATATCTGTTAAAAATTCGATGTATGCTAACGTTAAGGGTATCACAACTATATGGTTATAATCTACTCGAACAAAGGAAACTGTCGATGATATAATAAACCATAGATCAACTAATGTATACATAATTAGTGACACTAGTGCATACTCAAGTCGCTGTATATTATATATACATTTTGTATGATAATGTCGCATGTAGTATAATGAATATGAATAGTTAGGATGGTAGTATTAGTACTTCTTCAGTTTGGTATTATCATATTGAAGTGAAGTGTATCGGATAATAGTTATAGTCAATGGACAAAAAAACATTTATAATAGTATATGACCAATATTTTCAAGGGTGAGAAACTTGAATCTATGATAGTTCTTTGATATTTAAAAGTTTTATTTCTTGAGTCAGAAAGAGATTTCTTTTCACTGAGAAGGTTCATACAAAAGAAAATAATTTGTATGCGTCTTTATTTATCATGGGATAAAAAGTGAACCGTCAAGCTTCAGTTACACCCCACGTCGGAATAAGACAGTTCTGTTTTTCCTTCGTGCAAATCTCGTTTACTCGAATTGCTTGATATTGGTGGAACGGAGGTTTGGATCAGAGTGACCAGTTCGCCTCAGAAATTAGAGCCAATGAGCATTTTTAATGCTTTGAGACTTAGTGAATCGTATGTGACAATAATATCAAGCCTGTATACATTGACTGAAAAAAATATTATTTTAAGTTGTGATAAGTGTCGATTCCTAAAATGATTTTTTCTTACTCTTAAAAGTTCGTTGTTTCGTAACAAGAGACAGTTAGATTTTTTCGGTTCCCGTTTTAAATGAGAAAACTGAGTGTAGATCTGAGAATATGGGATGTGAGTGAGAGTTAGGGTGCCTCTCTCTCACTCTCGCCCTTGCCCACACTCACACTCAGTTATAACAACAACAATTAAAAAGTATAAATATAAAAATGTTTAATTTTTTCTCATGTTTTCAAATGTAAATGAAAGCAGCTAGGAAGTTAGTAATAGAGATATTCATTTAGATTTCTACGCAAAAGGATAGTTTTAAATGTATTTTGAAAAAGAGAAGGCACTCAAATATGTTCTTTCGTTAGTCAATCTTTGAATATTTCTCAGTAGTCCGATAGTCTCGTCAAATTACATGCTAAACAGCAAGACCTATTGTACGTTATCAGAAAGAATACTAACAATAAGCTCATAAGAATATTATAAATAAAATGTTGGCAAATCAAATCATAGAAACTCGTTTTGTTTTTTCTAGTTTATAAACTGATAAAGAATTTAGCTAATTGGACGTTTTGATTTCAAGTTTCGAAGTATAGATTTTGTTTTCTTTATCTTCTTTATAGTTTTTTTAAGATTTTCATATACTACATATTTCACATAACTAATTAATCGACATTATTCGGTTTATTCGTTACAAATGTTTTCACGTACAAAAGTAGCAGCAACAAAAGGATCGACTGTGCAGAAAGAGCAGCGGCTTATGATTTCGGGTCGAACAGAAGCTATAGCATCGTCTGGTCAACAAAGAATTTGGTTTCATGAACAACTATACTTTCATGCTTCTGATCTATCCGTCTATAATATTGTAGTTCCATTAATAATCAAACAAGGTTCACTCTCAATTGAACGGCTACGCTCGGCCTTACGGTCAGTAATTGAACAACATACGATTCTCCGTACCGCTGTTCGCTTTAATCCAGCAACTAATCAGGTTGAACAATATATTCAACCTGTTACTGATGATATTTACTTATTCCAACATTCACGAGGAATATCGACAGCGGAACAACTGAATAGTCTATTAACGGATGAATCCATTAGGAAACACTTTGATGTGGAGACGGGAAGAGTCGTAAAATGCCATGTCGTGGAGCGCGGTGATGAAAGTGATGGTCATTCATTACATGAAAATGACCTCATTGTTTTTACTATCCATCACATAGCATTTGATCTCACCTCAAGCAAATCATTCGTTAAAGCATTTGAGCGCGCATATTGGATTAATGCACATCATCATTCAACATTATTGACTCAGCAATATATAGACTTTGCTCAGTATGAACAGGCAATGCTAGTTGATATGAATCCAAATTCAAAAACGAACAAGGCACGTCGATTTTGGTCCGATCTTATGGATGGTTATGATTGGAATCGCATACGAGCCTTTGTGTCTACTGAAATTAGATATAACCAAACTCGTTCTGGCCGTGGTCATTCGACTGTATTTGTCTTCGATCAACGTGTTGTCGACAACATGATGATGTTTGCTTCATCCAATAACATTACTATGTTTTCGCTGTCATTCGCCTCTTTCTATGCATTCTTATTCAAATTACTCAAAAATGAAGAGGACTTATGCGTAGCAAGTGTTGTAGCTAATCGTTTTAATCAAGAAACAAAAGAAATGATCGGCATGTTTGTTAATATTCTACCATATCGAATACAAATTGAGCCAAATAAATCATTTAATCATTTCGTGCGAAAAGTGCAACAACTAAGTACTGATATTCTGGAACATGCGTCTCTACCATACCAAGAGATCATTGGTCTACACGATAAACAAAAACGTCGGCGATTGCCATCAACATTCTTTGAATATGTCTCTTTAATGTCATCTATGACACAAAAAACTACAGTGGAATCAACTGTAGATAAAGATTTAGTTCTTGGTATATACTATGATCGGGATCGAAGTCGCGGTAATGGATTAGCTATATTCGATATGTCTGTCACAATAGCACATGATCATCATGCACGAACTACAGAATGTGTTATTGATTGTGCAGTTGAAATATTCCAAAGTCAAGCTATTGTTAATGAAGTTGCAAACCGTTTTCAACATATGCTTACACAACTCTTTTGCTCTTTCATGATCGATGAACCTATCTATAATCTATCCATTGTTTCTTCAAACGAGGAAAATCTTATTCATCAATTCGACAATAAACATATAGATTCGTCCAACTCATGCACATCTACCATTCAGGAATGCTCAACTATCGAAAATCAAGTGTCAATGATTGATGCAAGTTTATTTTGGTTTGATATTCTTCGTGATTGTAAACTTAATCAACCATTATCATTACCATACGATCGAAATCGTCTTATGAATCAACATCCAACTGATCAGACAATATCAGTCTCTTTTGATTTCGGCCAAGATCTTTCCCATCAGTTTATCACCTATGTATCATCAAATAATATCAAACATGAACATCTAGCATTTGCTACTTACTTTATCTTCTTATTCAAATTAACGAATGGTGAAAAAGATTTATGCATTTCGATGAATATCTACAATCGTTATAAACATGAACTAAAATCTAAAATTGGATTATTCAAGAATATCATTCCATTACGATGTCAACTAGATCCTTATTGGTCTTTCCAGCAACTACTTGAGCACGTAGAAGAGACAACAATGAAGAGTTTAAAATATTCTTACTTTCCTCTTCAACGTATTCTCAGTCAACATCCAAATGTTTCAAAACCAGCATTTCTTGATATATCATTTGATTTTATATCATCAATGACAAAAGATGAGAAAAATAAAATAATGACTGGTGATAGTCAACTTTCTTCCATACCTTCCACGATGAACATTAATGATAATGAGATTAGAAATAAGTATGATTTCTCACTTCTAATCGAACATGATCTCAATATCAATCAACTCTCATGTACAATCAATGCATCACTTGATTTATTCAATGTAGAAACAATCAACAAAATATCTCAACGATTTCATTCAATCTTGAAACAATTATTTATATCTGTTGATGATAAAATGATTAAACCAATCTATGAAATATCATTAACATTATCAAGTGAGAGATTACTCATGCAATCAGTGAACAATACACAGGTCTCATTTCCATCTTCTCTTACTTGTATTCATCATGGATTTGTTTATCAAGTAATGAAACATCCACAAAAACTAGCTGTTGAACTCGATGAACAATCTTTGGCATATTGTGAACTTCTATATTATGTTCAAGTGTTATCTTTAACTCTTCTTAATGAGTATCTTATCACTCCAGGTGAAATCATTTGTCAATGTGTAGAGCGGAGTGTGTCAATGGTAAGTTGATTAGAGGAAATAACTATTGATGAGTTTCAGATTACTTTTGACTAGGTAATTGGTATAATGGCAATTGAAGTGGCAGGTGGTGTTTATGGTCCATTATCACCGCGAGATCCAAAACATCGTTTGGATGCTCTTATACAACAGACACAAAGTCGTTTTGTTCTTGCTCATCAGTTAACTAAGACCAAACTCGATGGTAATATTATTTTACTTAGTATTGATTCAATATTAATGAGCCATGCCACTGAATGTGTTATTGATGTGACTCGGCTATCGAAAGTTGCAACAGTTTCAGAAGATGTCGCGTACATTATTTTTACAAGTGGTTCTACTGGGACACCAAAAGCAGTATGTTTTCTGCATTTTTTAAAGTGTCTTTTTCAGTTTTTCGCTATGTTATAGGCTCAAACCAGGCATCGGAACTTCACAAATTTCGTGCGTTCTATACAAAACGCTGGTGTAATAAACGAACAAGACACAGTGTCTCAAATATGTGCTCCGACATACGATGTACATGTCATGGAAATCATGGGTAGTTTACTTTTGTCTGCGACCGTTGTGATGTTACATCCATATGGCAATATGGATTTTGAATATTTTGCTCACACACTGCAACATAAACAGATTACATGTCTTGCACCTGTTCCAACCTTCTTAAATCATTTGTGTGATTTTCTTGCACAACCCAATCGCTATGCTTTATCATCTGTACGATCACTTTGTATTGGCGGTTAGTAAAATAAAATAAAAGTGATAATAGAACTTTCTCTTAATCTTTTAGGTGAACCATTTTCACTAAAACTCGTTTATCGCCTCAGAAACCATATTAAAAGCGAGTTTTACATGCACAACATATACGCACCGGCTGAATGTACCGTTGTGTCGATATGTCATCGCGTTGACACCAATTCTGTTGAGAACAACATTCCTCTTGGTAGTGTTCTGGCTAATGAACAATGCAAGGTTCTAGATATTTCTTTGCAGCCTACACCGATCCGAGAAGAAGGAGAATTGTTTATAGGTGGAGTGGGTGTATTTGCTGGTTATCTTGGTCGTGATGATTTAACCGCAAAAGCTCTTCTTGAAATAGATGATCAACTATTTTATCGAACAGGTGATCTTGTTAGAATGGATAACAATGGTCTCCTTCATTATCAAGGAAGAAAAGATCATCAAATCAAACTACATGGACAACGAATTGAACTTGGTGAAATCGAACGATGTTTACTTGACATTACATCCATCTCTACTTGTGTTGTTATGAAATGGAATGATGATTATTTAGTTGCTTATGTTCAATCTTCTTTTCATACGAATGAAGAAGAACTACGTCAACATTGTCAATCTCATCTTCCACCACATATGATACCATCCATATTCATTATACTTGATAAATTACCTTTGAATCCAAATGGAAAGATAGATCGGAAACTTCTTCCCCCACCTCAATTCTCATCTATGCAGCTCACAAACAGTACAGAACTAATACTACCAACAAATGATAATGAAGTTACTATTCATCATATTTGGTGTGACTTATTCAAACGAAATCAAATCTCAACTGATACAAATATATTTACTATTGGTGGTCATTCATTAGTTATCATGCAACTCTTTCATCGGTACAAGATCGAATTTCATTTAGAAACAAATACTCTTTCTATTACTGATCTATTTCAACATCCAACAATTATTCATCATGCTCAGCTCATCCACCAATCTATCAATACTATCCACACTCTGGATGATCATCCTTGGTCTTCATTAAATCTCATTCAAGGTAAACAAAACACCTTGTATTAGATATTATCATCAACTATATATTCATTTTGTCCTCTCTCATTCTAGCTAGCGCATCATTTGCACAAGAACGAATCTATTTAGATGAACAAATCCGTTTTTCATCCAACAATACAACCATGAAGAATATGTATGTTATTCCATTGTTTTATCGAATATCATCTATGAAGGATGGTGTATCAATCACTCGATTACATCATGCATTTCAAAGTGTGATCACAAAACATAATATTCTTCGAACAGCACTTTATATTGATGATACAAATGGTAATATTATACAGCACTGTTTAGATGCAAATATCATTCTCAACGATGATATAAAATCATATGGATTGACAGTCATTAATCTTCATGATGATGATTGTCGCCATATGAATGAAATTATTGCAGAAACATTAAATCAATCTGATTTATTTGACTTATCAAAAGGACATGTTATTCGTTGTCATATTCTTCGCCAATCTCATTATTCTCAAGATAATGTCTCATATGAAAACGATGATTTATTGACTGAAAATGATCACTTATTGATTAGTATTCATCATGCAATGTTTGATGGAGCATCAACATCAATTTTTCTTCGTGATCTTTCTCTTGCTTATCAATCGATTGACTCTTTATCTATGGATGAAAATATACTGAATTACATAGATTATTCTATTCATGAACACATCATGGATATGTCATTATCTCGTGAGTTCTGGCATTCGCAACTTGAAAGAAACAATATCGAATGTTCATTATCATTACCAGTTGATCGACGACGTTCATCAACGAATCAACAACGATCAGGTTTAGCTTCTACAGCTCAAATCATTTTCGATAACGAAATATGCACATCATTTCTCAACTATGCATCATCACATCATCTCACACTTTTTCAGCTTGGATTATCCATATTTTATGTCTTCCTATTCAAATTATCTCATGGTGAGACTGATCTATGTATTGGTTCTATCAATGCTAATCGATATCGAAGTGAATTAGTGAATATGATCGGAATGTTTGTTTCAACAGTACCATATCGTATGCAACTTGATCCTAGTTGGTCATTTGATGAGGTAGTAAAATATGTCCAAGAAAAATGTTTATCAATTCTTGAACATTCTCATTATCCATTACAACATATTCTTGGTGACAACCGATTAAATCAGTCGAATGTATCATTTCTTGAAACAATGTTTGATTTTATTAGTGTGTCAAAAGATGTCAAACATCTATGTTTGAATGATGTAAATTTAGAAAAAATATCATTGGAGCAATCAACTGAAGTGTCTAAATTTGACTTTTCATTAACGTTTGAATACAATCCGTTATCAGATAACAAGAGATTATCATGTAGTTTTATTTGTTCAAGTGATTTGTTTGAAAAATCAACTATTTCAAAAATAGCTCAAAGATTTGAATATATGTTTGAGCAACTATTTCAAACACAACCAAGCAACACTACTGTGATGAATGTGAGTTCATCAATTAACAAACTGTCTCTTATTCTTCCTGAGGAAGATGGAGAAATGGAATTAGCGGTGTTTCATCGATTGGAAAATATTGTGAATGAAGGTATGATTGTATGCAGCTAATTCTTTTATTTTATAAAAGTACTAGTCAGTTAAACCCGTAATGAGAAATAGGTATTAAAGTGCATTTCAATGTACAGATATAGCATTTATAGTTTTTAAATAAATTTCAAAGGAATAAATAATGAGAAAATAGGGATTCAGACGATTTATGATCGTCAGTGACTTAGGTTGTCTTTTTAGGGGCTCCCATTTTATAATTGTTTAGAAGAGATCGCTGAAGATGCTGAAAGTGAGTTGAAGTCGGACTTACCGAGAAATTTTTCACAAGAGATATTGAAGTTAAATTTGTAAAGATCCTTAGTAAATATTTAGTCGGAATAGATGTATAGTCTTTTATTCTTCGTATTAATCAACAAAAAATAAAACTTGCCGTTGCTTAAAAATTGTTTATTTCGTTTTAAGAAATAGAACAACTGTGATAGTAAAATCTTTTATAAATCTATTTATTTATAAATTGGCACTGTCTCAAAAATAAGATACTCTTGTAGATTTCATGCCAGAAAGCAAATCACACTTAAATTACTCAGACCGTTGAACAGAGCCGATAAAATCCAGAGTTTGTTATTGCCGAGATTAGTCCTCTTTGATTTGTAAGTAAACCAAGTACTAAGTAGGTGATAGATTACTGGTTACCGGTAATAAATTGTCGAAGTTTTTGGATGCCGAAACTGAGATCGAAGGGAAAAAATAAAAATTCATGCAATCAGATTTACAGTCACAAGGAAGGGATTTTTCCAAGTCATAGTCGTGTTGTATAATCATAAAACACCTACATCACATGGTTCTCTAGCATCAAACATTTCTGTTTGATTCTGTTTTCTTCCGACATTATATATAACGATAGTACAAGAATATTTTTACTATTTTCACTGATTAGGTGTGCGTGTGTGGATTGTAAAAATTGTCAAACATTGGCAGTATATAACTCTTAGGAATTATTCAGATGTCTACAGAATCGTTGTATGATATCATAAAGGATGCTGCATTTGCGTATTATAGTTGAAGCTTTTATTATGCATATTTCTATTGGTTATACACCTTATTTCATATGAGTATTTTATTCAAATTATTTTCTAATACAGCTGCAGAGATTTTAGTTCCAGATTAGTAACTAATACTTTTAGTGATCTAATGACATATGTCGAAAAACTAGAATCGCATAAACTTATTTCAAAATAATTTTTTATGTAGTAGCTACAGCGATTTTCTGAAAGATGAATTCCTAACGGTTCACAATCTTACTTTTTTTTTAAACACCGTCAGTACTTGCATTATGTTAATGCAGATTTGATAAGAGTACCAAACAGCCGTGTTTTTTACATAAACATTAACATAGAACTATTACATAGTACTATGGATGCGCATAAAAGAGTTCCATATCAGAGTCGTTTTATCAAAGCTGATAATATTCCTCAATTTTTGAAGGAAGATACGATGTCATACGACGTTGGGCTTTTCACCCTGAGGTATTAAACTATTTTTATTACTACTAACACAAAATAGTGAGCCGACGCCCGTACAACTGGGGTCTAGTCAGTTGGGAAAGCGATTCGATAGAAATAGTCAGAATATTGTTATGAAAGATGGTTTCACCATCCAGCTTTTAAATTATATTTAACTATACTCTCATTATTCTAGTACCAGCATCATTTGCACAAGCTCGTATTTGGCTCGACGAAAGAATTCGATTCGATCCAGACAAGCCTCAAGTAGCAATCTATAATATGCCTTTTGTCTATCGTCTGCAATCAGGTCATACTTTATCCATTAAACAACTTTGTCATGCTCTTCATCTTACTCTTAGCAAACATTCCTCACTTCATACATCACTTCATTTTGACATCGAAAAGAATCAACTTATGCAACAAGTTATTACTCATGAAGATAAAAATAATCGTAATAATAGTATGTTTTCAATCATCGAAACCGCTTATGAAACAGAAGAACAACTTAATGAGATTTTACACGACGAAAAACGTAATCCTCAAGTTTTTAATCTTTCTCAGGGTCTTGTCTTTCGATGTCATATTATTTATTACAAACAAATCTCTTCAAATGATCTACTTTCTGACAAAGATCTACTTATCTTTAACTTTCATCATGCTTTATTTGATTTTCCATCAATGAAAATATTTCATCATGATCTCAATCAAGCATATACAACAGGTATATTATTATATGATGACAACACTAATCTACGTTATCTCGATTGTAAATATAATTAGTTGTTATATTTTGCCTTATACATTCTTTTGTTAAATTATGTAGACGCTGCTATTGAACAACAGATGTCAATGACCGGCGCAAGTATGTTTTGGCTTGATGTTCTTCATAATTGTAAACTCGATCAACCTTTGCCATTACCATTTGATCGATATCGTCTCTCAAATGAACATCGAACTGGTCATGGAACATGTATTTCATTTGATTTTGGTCAAGATCTTTCACATGACTTTCTTATTCATGCATCATCAAATAGCATATCACTTGAACATCTTGCACTTGCTACTTACTTTATCTTCTTACTTAAATTAACGAATGGAGAAAACGATTTATGCATCGGAATAAATACACATGGGCGATATAGAGATGAATTGACTTCTATCATTGGAATGTTTGTGAATGCCATACCTTTGCGATGTCAACTCGATCCTCATTTATCATTTCATAAAATCACTAAGCACGTTCAAAATAACATGATAAACTGTATTAAATATTCATATTTTCCTCTTCAACGTATTCTCAATCAGCATCCAAATATATCAAATCCTGTATTTCTCGATACAGCATTTGAATTTATATCATCCATGACAAAAGATGAGGAGGATGAAATAATGATTGGTGATAGCCGATTCTCTTTACTACCTTATTCAATTAAGATTAGTGAAGATGAAATCATGAGTAAATTTGATTTTATTCTTAGTTTTCGACATGATATGAATCTAAATGAACTCTCATGCACTATTAATGCTTCACTTGATCTATTCAATGTTCAAACAGTTTGTACAACTGGACAAAGATTGCAGACAATGTTGCATCAACAATTCACATCTTTTCATAGTCAAATAAACAAACCTGTTCATGAATTATCATTAACATTATCAAACGAACAATATCTAATGCAATCATTGAATAATACACAAGTATCATTTTCATCTCCTCTCACTTGTATTCATCATGAGTTTGTATATCAAGTAATGAAACATCCACAAAAACTAGCTGTTGAACTAGATGAACAATCATTGACATATTGTGAACTATTACATTATGTTCAAGTGTTATCTTTAACTCTTCTCAATAAATATCTTGTTGCTCCAGGTGAAATAGTTTGTCAATGTGTTGAGCGAAGTTTATCAATGGTAAGTTGATTAGGAAAAATATTCATTGATGGTAGTTTGAGATTGTTTTTAACTAGGTAATAGGTATTATGGCAATTGAAATGGTTGGTGGTGTTTATTGTCCATTATCACCTCGGGATCCACAGCATCGTTTGCATGCACTCACACAACAAACTCAAAGTCGTCTTGTTCTTGTTCATGGTTTAACTACGACGAAATTTGATGATGATATTATTTCACTTGATATTAATTCACTATTAACGAGCCATGCCATTGAATGTGTTATTGATGTAACCCGACTATCGAAAGTTATAACAGTATCAGACGATGTCGCATACATTATTTTTACAAGTGGCTCGACTGGAAAACCAAAAGCGGTTCGTTGAAGCTTAGCTTTTTAGTATATGGCTGATTTCTGTGCTTTCTGATAGGTTCAAGTCCAGCACAAGAACTTCACTGGATTTATGTCCTCGTTAGTTTATGGTGATGTATTGAATGAAAAGGATACAATTCTTCAGATGGCACGTTGCTCTTTTGATGTACATGTTCACGATATATTGGGCAGTTTTATGACTGGAAGTAGTCTAATTATGCTGCATCCAAGAGGAATTATGGACTTTGACTATCTTGCCAATGTTATGACAGAGAAGAATATTACTTGTTTTGCTTCTGTCCCAACTATAATTAGCAATTTCTTTACTTTTCTACAACAACAAAACCATCATAATGTTGCTCAATACTTGCGATCAATTTGCAGTGGTGGTATGTGATGTTTATATGAAATGTATTATTTTCGATATCATACAATTTCATTTCTAGGTGAGCCTTGCTCTTTGAAACTAATAAATTTAATGTTAAGTACTGTGATGCACACTTGTCGACTATGGAACATGTATGGTCCAGCTGAAACAACAATTGATTGCACGTTTCACCTTTTCCATAATACAACAGAGACTAAAAGTTTTCCAATAGGCAGACCGCTTTCAAATTATCAAAATGTAATTTTAGATCAATTCTCACAAAATGTGTTTATCGATCAAGAAGGTGAACTGCTTGTGGGAGGAGTGGGTGTCTATGCTGGTTATCTTGGACGTGATGATTTAACTGCAAAAGCTCTTGTTGAAATAGATGATGAACTATTTTATCGAACAGGTGATCTTGTTACAATTGATAACTGTGGTCTTATTCATTATCAAGGAAGAAAAGACTATCAAGTCAAACTACATGGACAACGAATTGAACTTGGTGAAATCGAACGGTGTTTACTTAACATTACATCTATTTCTTCTTGTGTTGTCATGAAATGGAATGATGATTATTTAGTTGCTTATGTTCAATCTTCTTTTCATACGAATGAAGAAGAACTACGTCAACATTGTCAATCTCATCTTCCACCACATATGATACCATCAATATTTATTATACTTGATAAACTACCATTGAATCCAAATGGAAAAGTAGATCGAAAACTTCTTCCTTCGCCTCACCTCTCATCCATGCATCTCACAAACAGTATAGAGCTATTACTACCAACAAATCATATTGAAGACAGTATTCATCGTATTTGGTGTGAGATATTCAAACTTAATCAGATCTCAACTAATACAAATATATTTACTATAGGTGGTCATTCATTAGTTATCATGCAACTATTTTATCGGTACAAGATCGAGTTTCATTTAGAAACAAATACTCTTTCTATTTCTAATCTTTTCCAACATCCAACAATTATTCATCATGCTCAACTCATTCAACAATCTATCAATACCGTCGACACTCTTGATAACTCTACTTGGTCTACATTACATTTTATTCGAGCTAGAGCATCATTTGCTCAAGAACGAATCTATTTAGATGAACAAATCCGTTTTTCATCCAACAATACAACCATGAAGAATATGTATGTTATTCCATTACTTTATCGTATATCATCTATGCATGATCATGTGTCAATTACTCGATTATATCATGTATTTCAAAGTGTGATCACAAAACATAATATTCTTCGAACAGCACTCTATCTTGACACAAATGCTACTATTATACAAGACTGTTTAGATACAAATGCTATTGTTCATGATAAAAAATCATCCAGATTCACAATAATTAGTCTCCCGAATGAAGAACATGAACAGAATGAAATTATAAAGAAGATTTTAAATCAATCTGATTTATTTGACTTATCAAGAGGACATGTTGTTAATTGTCATATTCTTCGTCGTGATCAGTTAAATCATCCATTCACTCAGAATAATGATCTATTGACTAAAGATGATCGAATACTGTTTACCATTCATCATGCTTGTTTTGATGGAGCATCGACATCAATCTTCATTCGTGATCTTTCTCTTGCTTATCAATCTAATGGCTTGCTACCTACAGATGACAGTTCATTACAATATATTGACTATTCCATTCATGAACACATAATGGATATGACATTATCTCAAGGATTTTGGCTATTAGAACTCAAAGGATATAATCTCACACGCCAATTATCATTACCGGTTGACCGACAACGTTCATCAACTAGTCAACAACGATCAGGCTTAGCATCCATAGCTGAAATCAATTTTAATAATGAGATATGCACATCATTTCTCAACTATGCATCATCACATCATCTCACACTTTTTCAACTTGGATTATCCATATTTTATGTCTTCCTATTCAAATTATCTCATGGTGAGACTGATCTATGTATTGGTTCTATCAATGCTAATCGATATCGAAGTGAATTAGTGAATATGATAGGAATGTTTGTTTCAACATTACCATATCGCATTCAACTTGATCCACTTTGGTCATTTGATGAAGTAGTTAAATATGTACAAAAAAAATGTTTATCAATTCTTACACATTCTCATTACCCACTTCAACATATTCTTGCTGATTTACATCTCACTCAATCAAATGCATCATTTCTTGAAACAATGTTTGATTTCATCATTATATCAGATGAAGATAATGATTTATGTTTGAATGGAGTCAATCTACAGCAAGTGCCGTCAAATGACTCATATGAAATGGCTAAATTTGACTTTTCAGTGAACTTTATCTACAATTCGTCATCAGATGATAATCAGTTGTCTTGCTCTTTTATTTGCTCAAGTGATTTATTTGATGGAAGAATACTCACCATAATAGGTCGAAGATTTCAATACATGTTTGAGCAACTGTTTCAAACACAACCAAGCAACATTCCTTTGATGAGCGGGAGTTCATCGATTAACAAAATTTCTCTTATTCTTTCTGAGGAAGCTGAAGAAATGGACCTGATCGTGTTTGATCGATTGAAGGATATTCTTAGTAAAGGTATGATTATTTATTTTTTCTTTTCTTCTAGAAGGAAAAAATGAAGGTATCTATGTGCTTTTTTAGCACTACCAGAGAAACTAACTAAATCATGCATTCAATCATACACAGACAAATTTTCGTAAAACAGTTCTCCTATTTAAAAAGATCATTGTGTGAATTGGCAAGTCGATGCATATCGAATCCCTTACGTGGACGATTATTTAAGTCATACTAATAGTAATAATAATAAGGAATATTGTATAATATCGACTTAGAACCTTTCCGTAAAATGGGAATCTCAAATGAATGTTGAAATAGTACTGTCGCCGTATTCTAATTTGGAAACAGTATACACATTTTTGTTGAAGTTCGAACTTTTATTTTCAGTTGATTCTTGTAGATCGGATCTTTCAACCAATGTGCCCTACAGATAATATGTTGTTAAATGAAAACATAGAAATGGAATAACAGAATAATGTTAGGTCGTTTTAAGTGTTTCTTTATTTAAAAGCAGAAATGCAAAAAACACATGTATCTACACTGTAAAAAAAGGATGGATCCTGAACCCTCCAAAAAGAATTCGCAGATTTCTAAAAGACTCTAAATCGGTTCAAAGGTCTGAAAAACGATTAAAAAAATCTACGAAACCTTAAAAGAGATCGGAGGGCGGGTACAAATTCGGAACCATCTCTTGCGAAATTATTTTTAGTTTCGTACAACGAAAAAAAGGTTTCGGAAGAAAATACGAAACCTTGATAGTTTCCTATTGGCCAAGATGATTTCGTAAAAAAAACATACTGCTGAACCATAAAACCCGATAGAAAACTATTAAGGTTTCGTATTTTCTTCCGAAACCTATTTTTCGTTGTACGAAACTAGAAATAGTTTCACAAGAGATGGTTCCGAATTTGTACCCGCCCTCCGATCTCTTTTAAGGTTTCGTAGATTTTTTAATCGTTTTTCAGACCTTTGAACACATTTAGAGTCTTTTAGAAATCTGCGAATTCTTTTTGGAGGGTTCAGGATCCATCCTTTTTTTTACAGTGTATATGTGTCAGGCAGAATTAAGGTTTAGGCAAAATTAAACTTGATTTTAAAATGATTCTATGATCATATGATTTTAAAAATTTTCGGAAAATAATTCACTTGTTATTATTATTTTAAATTTTTCAAAGTTGTAAAGTTCTTAAGTTGAATTTAATAAAAAATGAATTTAATTTTAGAAAGATGTAGAGTTCGCAAGTTATATTTGTCGCAGATACGTTTGGAATTTAGTTAAGTTTGGAATACGTTTAAAATTAATAAAATAATTTTTTTATCGAAGTTTTTGTGGTATTATAGCTATAAGCTATTTTTAAATAGAATTAGAAGAACGTTAGTTTTAGTTTTATAAAATGATCATATTTCCATTAATAATAAATTGTATGTAGGCTTTAAGAAGAATTTTTATAATAATAGAGTATTTCCGATTACGTAGAATTGATTTTGTTAGTTTTTCGTTTTTAAATATATTAACTATTTTTTTGATAATGGGGACATGGGGACATTGATTATTCGCTTAAAAATGAATTGTTGAATTTTCGTTTTTTGTTATGTTGTATTTTTTTGATAATGGAGAGATGGGGACATCGATTATTTGCTAGAAGATTAAATTTGTTTGATTTTTATTTTTAAATATATTGATTTTTTTTAAATGATGGGGACATGGGGATATTGATTATTGGTTGAAAAATGAATTATTGAATTTTCGTTTTTTGTTGTATTGTATCTTTTTAATAATGGGGACATGGGGACATTGATTATTAGCTAGAAATGAATTGTTGAGTATTTATTATATTATATTTTTTTATGACAATAAGATTAAAACATTGATCGTAACTGATGAAAAATAATATTCTGAATATAAGACAGTTTTACGAAGATTTTTTTCTTCTGTGATTGTGATTTCATAAGTATTTTGTCGAATCGGTTATATAGGAAAAGACATGAATATTTTCAGTTAGATAATGTTTATTACGTGTGATGATAAAATCAAAGAAAGAAATATGATAAACAGATTTTAAAATTTACGATCACATTCAAGAAAAAATGAAAGTCAGTAGTTAAATAAACATAAGGCAACGGAGACGTGCGATTGTGTATTATTTCTCATTAAATATTTCCCTCGAATAATATTTGAATTATAAAAACAAAATACATCGATTTATCTAATTAAAAATGTCGTCACAGATTATGTTTAATCATTATGTGTTTCATAGTAACGAACCTTGATAAATAGAATACAGTTCATTTACACAAGCGACATAAATATTTAATTTAGTAGATCTTAGGAAAAGTTTTTAATATAGAAAATTTATGGGAATAATAATTTTAGGAAAACTATGTGATAATATATTATGAGATGAGACGACTAATTATTTTATATTTTTATAATACTAAACGTTGAATAAATTAGTATATAATAAATGACGAGCACACAAAAACACAAAAATTTTCAGAAAAAATCAAATATATGATACAATCAGTTCACTCAATTTCTTATTGAACGTTTTTAATATGTTTTTTTTGGAAACTACTATACAAATTATTTGTTTTATTCTAACAAAAGAATCTTGCCCAATATTTTTTCTTTTAATTCTAAATGACGAGCACAGAAAAAAATCGAAAAAATATATGATACAATGAATCACCTAATTTTTTATTAGTTGTTCTTAATATGTCTTTTTTTGTTGGACGATACTATACAAATAATCTATTTTATTATAATAGAAAAATGTTTTTCGATATTTTTTTAGACCAAAAAAAAACAAAATTCAAATTTTCGCGCGGAAAGAAAAGCAAGTTTTGCCTGTTTATTTTTGCCTAAAACTTAATTTTGCCTGGGACATATATATCAAAAGAAAATCAATATTAACATTCAAAATATAATAAATTAAATATATAAGAACTGTAAGCCACTGAGCCGCTGTCAAATAAAAAACATTTTTTTGAGTATTAACAAATAGATAAAATTCAATTCAATAAAAGTCATCTGAAATCCGGAAAAATCCGGAACCCAGAAAAAATCCACAAAAAGTAGAAAAATCGGAAGAGTTGGCAACACTGAATCACGGTACATATTGATTTCACTTGAACATAAAGAAAGATAGTAGAGAAGAGAAGGAAAGAAAGAAATTAAGGTCTGTGCTGTGATACCTTTACACCACCACTAACAAAAGGATTAACACAGAATTTTTATAAATAGTACATCAATACTTCATACCACTAACAACACCTTCCACAAATGCATCATTTAGAAACGTTTGTCTTTCTGTTAGAAAAATAAGTTCATATTTTAGCATTACTATCGAATTTGTATTAATATACATGTATAAAAGTGAGTTCCAATAAAGGTAATCTCAATACTAACCTAGCATCCTTATCCAATTGTGTTGTTAATTAAAAAACCGATCACACGAAAAGTGTCTACAGCACTGATATCAGATATGATTTGATCATTATTCTTTTAAATTATAATCTGACAATCCCTCATTATTCCAGCACCAGCATCATTTGCACAAACTCGGCTATGGCATAATGAATGTGTTCATTTCACTCCTCACATATCGCAAGTGCCAATCTACAACATGCTTTTTGTTTATCATCTACACTCACATCATACTTTATCAGTACAACATCTTCGTCATGCTCTTCAACTCATCGTGACAAAACATGAATCCTTTCGAACATCACTTGTCTTCGATACAGAAAAGAACCTAGTCATGCAACGAATCATTGATATGAATAACAACAATAAACAACTTTTTACATTCATTGAAAGTTCTTATGAAACACAGGAACAACTTAATGATACTTTGCACGATGAGAAACGAAATCCTCATCTTTTTGATCTTGCTCAAGGTCTTGTCTTTCGATGTCATCTTGTTTACTACAAACAAATCTCTTCAAATGACCTACTTTCTGACCAAGATGTAGTCATTTTCAATTTTCATCATGCTTTATTTGATCTTTCATCAATGAATATCTTTCTTCATGATCTTAATCAAGCATATTCAACAGATCAATTATTATATGATGACAACACTAATCTTCGTTATCTCGATTGTAAATATAATTAGCTCTTATATTTTTCCTTTTGCCTAGCACATTATTTTCTTTAATTACATAATAGATGCCGTTATTGAACAACAAATGTTAATGACTGGTGCAAGTATGTTTTGGCTTGATGCTCTTCATGATTGTAAACTTGATCAGTCTTTATCATTACCATTTGATCGATATCGTCTCTCAAATGAGCATCGAAGTGGTCGTGGAACATGTATTTCATTTGATTTTGGTCAAGATCTTTCACATGACTTTCTTCTCCATGCATCATCAAATAACATATCACTGGAACATCTCACATTTGCTATTTATTTTATCTTCCTATTTAAACTAACTAATGGACAAACAAATTTATGTCTGGCTATAAACATCAATAATAATCGATATAGAGATGAACTCAAATCAATCATTGGATTGTTTGAGAATGTCATCCCATTACGATGTCAACTAGATCCTCATTGGTGTTTTCATCAAGTACTCAAACACATTCGTGAGATAACAAGCAATAGTATGAAATATTCATATTTTCCACTTCAACGTATTATCGATCAACATCCACATATTACTAAATATGCATTTTTGGATACATCTCTGGAATTTATATCATACAAGAATAATAAAACAATGATGATCGGTGATTCTCAAATTATTCCATCATCTTTCCCGTTCAACATTAATGAAGATGAGATATTAAGTGTCTACGACTTCTCTCTCTCAATTCATCATGATTTGAAGATGAATCAACTATTATACACAATCAATGCGTCACTTGATTTATTCAATAGAGAGACAGCGGAGAAGATTTCACAACAATTGCATTCCATCGTACATCACTTATCTGCATCTATTATCGAGAGTCAAATAAACAAACCAATCTATGAAGTATCATTAACATTATCAAATGAGCAATATCTAATGCAATCATTGAATAATACACAAGTATCATTTTCATCTCCTCTCACTTGTATTCATCATGAGTTTGTATATCAAGTAATGAAACATCCACAAAAACTAGCTGTTGAACTAGATGAACAATCATTGACATATTGTGAACTGTTACATTATGTTCAAGTTTTATCTTTAACTCTTCTTAATGAATATCATGTGCTTCCAGGAGAGATCGTATGTCAATGTGTTGAGCGCAGTTTGTCAATGGTAAGTTAATTAGGAGAAATAAATAATGATGTGAGTATAAAATTAATTTTGACTAGGTGATTGGTATTATGGCAATCTTAATGGCTGGTGGTGTTTATTGTTCATTGTCGCCTCAAGATCCAGAACATCGTTTGCATGAATTCATACAACAAACACAAAGTCGCCTTGTTCTTGTTCATTGGCTGACAAAAATGAAGTTTAATAATGATATTGTTTTAGCTAATATTCATTCGATACTCGCTAATACTGATGTAATGAGCGATGCTGAGTTTGATCATCTATCAAGTATTACAGTCACATCTAATGATATTTCTTTTATCATTTTCACAAGTGGTTCAACTGGAATACCGAAAGCGGTAAGTGAATACTAGAATTTTTGTTTTCCGTTTCTATTCCTGTCCATTCTAACAGATTCAATATCGCCATGAAAATTTTATTCGTTTTATATATTCGTTTGGGAGCGTTACCACATTGAAGAACGATGATTTGGTTATCCAGATCGTTCGATGTACTTATGATGGTCATCTCCGGCAAATAGTTGGTATTTTATTAATTGGCGCTACATGTGTCATGCTACATCCAAGAGGAATGACTGATTTTGAGTATTTAGCTGGTGTGTTTTATAACAAACAGATTACACATTTCAGTACTGTACCAACTTTAATTCAAAGTTTTTTCAGTTTCCTCATGCAGTATAAGAGAATATATGTTGTAAAGTATCTCCGATTACTTTGTAGTGCAGGTAAGTGAAAACAGACGCTTTTCATGATTTCCTTTGCACTACACTTTTGTTTCGATAGGAGAAGTATTTCCTTCTAAGCTGATCGATCTGATCCAAGAAAGCAATATTCCCAATTGTACTTTATGGAATTTATATGGTCCAGCTGAAGCTACTATAGTTTCCACCTTCTATAGAGTACATCCTATGCCTAATACACAAAGTATTCCAATTGGTACACCACTTTCTAATTATCGATGTATAGTTATAAATGAATATTTACAACGATCAATCACTAATCAAGATGGCGAATTGTTTATAGGAGGTGTTGGTGTCTTTGCTGGTTATCTTGGCCGTGATGATTTAACTGCAAAAGCTCTTGTTGAAATAGATGATCAACTATTTTATCGAACAGGTGATCTTGTTACAATGGATAACTGTGGTCTCATTCATTATCAAGGAAGAAAAGATTATCAGGTGAAACTACGTGGACAACGAATCGAACTTGGTGAAATCGAACGATGTTTACTTAACATTACATCTATTTCTTCTTGTGTTGTCATGAAATGGAATGATGATTATTTAGTTGCATATGTTCAATCATCTCATGTCAATGAAGAAGAACTACGTGAACATTGTCAGTCTCATCTTCCATCACATATGGTTCCATCAGTATTTATTATACTTGACAAATTACCTTTGAATCAAAATGGAAAAGTAGATCGAAAACAATTTCCTTCGCCTCAATTTTCTTTATCAACTTTGTTATCTTCCGATAAGTCTGATACTCCTCTTAATCAGTTCGAAGAACGTATACATACTATTTGGTGTCAAGTTCTTCATTCTAATGAAAATCAAATTTCTGCAACTACCAGTTTTTTTAGTGCTGGTGGTCATTCACTTCGCTTCATCGAACTTTATTATCGTTATCAGTCATTATTCAGTTTTGATGCTCATTCACTCTCGATTGGTCTTTTTCTTCAGCAACCAACTATTCGACAACATGCACAACTACTTCAAACACTTCCATCCAATGATACGCAGACAACACGATGGCAATCACTATATATCAATCAAGGTAAAATATCTTTAAACTGAGAAACATTCATCAAATATATAAACCCACTGTTTTCTCTTATAGACATTACTTCGAATTTTTTCGAGCATCCGTTCGTTGTAATTAATGAAAGTTGCGATAATGTTTTGTTCATTTTGCCGCCTGGCGAGGGAGGTGCCGAAAGCTACTTCAACAATATTGTGCCTCATTTATTGCAATATAAACTGGTAATATTCAATAATTACTATCTTGATCTTAAAGCAAAAAATATGGAAAAAGGCTTCTCGTTCGAGACATTAGCTCCTGTATACATAAAGTATATTGAAGAAATCCAACATGATGGTCCATATAACTTTCTAGGCTGGAGTTTTGGAGGCATTTTATCGTTTGAAATTTCTCGTCAATTGATTAATGCTGGTGAGAAGGTTGATAATATTTTTATGATCGACTCATTTTTTAATGTAAGCAAGGCTTCTTTTGAAATTGGCAAAATACATCAAGTATATGTGAACGATTCAATGAACTATTATTTACCGATGATAGACAACGAACCGTTCGGATTAAATATAATCAACAGAAATACAAACATTGTATTATTTAAAGCTAACAAGATGGAGGAAAACTTTACATTGAACGATGATTTAGTATTATTATCATACTATACCAATACATTATTTAATAATCTTGACACACTAGTGAATCATGAATATATTCAGTTATTTCAAATGTATGGCGACAGTCATTCCTCTTGGATATTTAATGAAAAGCAAATTCTCAACATGTGCAACTATTTAGCGAGTCTATTAAAATAAATAACAAGAATAAATACGGTAATTTAGTAATAAATTAAATTACAAAAAAAGAAAGAAAATTTTTAGTTTATTTTAGATTTGTTTGCTATTAAATGTATTCTTTTGAAATCATCAATATATACGTTTCTTGAACAGACAGTATTCATTTCAGTTCGATTCTTCTAATTTAACTTATTTTTTATTAATTGTTTTTAATTCTCATTTAAAATCTAATAAATATCGGTCTTATCACTTGTGAAACGTCATCAACAAGATTAAATAAAAATAAATGAAATACGTGCGCTGTATTACTTAATATTAAAGAATTACTGTTCATTCTGATCTTAACGTATTCATAGTATCATTATCCTTCTGATTACTATTAAATTTTAATTTAAAAAAGGCATATATTTTTGCACAGTATTTTATTGAGAATGCTCAGTATTTTTTATATCTCATATTCAGTATGATTTGCTTAGTGAAATATTATTTTCTGTGTAGTATATAATTCGAATAGCACAGTAATCAATTCTAGGAAACTCAGTATTTAATTATTTTTCGCTGAGTAAGTAATTTTTTCTTGTTCAGTATATCTTTATTTATTTTAGTAAAATATTACATTGATAAATAATACATAATCATTGAATCAATAGTGCTCTCTTGGTGTTTGGTGGCCTACTATGACGTCGTTTTTCACTAATTATAATACCCTTAGCAGCAGATGGTGGCTTACAGTAGTTTAACCTAATTGCAACATCCACAACATGTTTACACATAAGCTCTGTTGGCTGATATGAAGAATATTTATGCGAATGTTTTAGTTATCTATTGTATATGTACAAGAATACAAACCATAATGAGATTGAATTTTATCATAAATATTCATGCATCGTTTCAATGAATAAGATCAGACTAAACAGTTTGAAATATCAATATTTTCAAGATTATAAAGGATCAAATGATTTGACTTGCATTTGATTAATACTGATAAAATCATAATACTCTATGTTGGAAAAAGACTAAGAATAGATTTCATATCTTGAAATTCAAATAAAACAACTTTTGATAGAAGCTTTGATAAAACTATTCACTCTATCACATATATATAATACATTACAGTTGATATACAAAAAAAGTCAAAAACTTTGTGACTTTTCCGATATTCAAGTCATGATTGAAATATTTTGTTTTATTTTCTAGGTTCTTGCAAATGTAACATTAACAGATAAGAATGTCCTTGAAATCAATTGTGGTAGAGGTGCTGGTACTGCATGGTGTGCTCATACTCATGCATCTCACTTTTATATTGGAATAGATCCCTCTCAAGATGTCATTAATTTATGTCAACGACTGTATTCGACAACTCCTCGACTTTCATTCGTGGTAGCTGATGCAACAAAACATTTACTATTCGAAAATGAGTCAATTGATATTATTCTTTGTATTGAAGCAACACTTACTTTTGGAGAACCAATAGCAATCACACAGTTGGCTAATGAAGTCATTCGTATACTTCGTCCAAATGGATATCTTCTATGGTGTGATTTTTGTTACATGAATGGATCAGATACATCAGTTTATGATTTGATAGCAAATGATGAATTAATTATTGAAGAAAAGATTAATATTACCAAGAATGTTCTTCATGCACTTGATATTCAAAATAGGTCTCGTACTGATTTCATTCAACGTTATATTCAACCTGCAGATCAAGAATATTGTCGTTTATTGGCTGGATTATCTGGTACTTAAATTTATGAAGATATGAGCCACGGATGCTCACAATATTGGCGAGTTGTATTTCGAAAGAAGACAATAACAGACATGCCTATCATCTGAAAACAAACTTTAACTAAACAGTACGAACCTTTTTTCTTTTTTCAACTAACTGTATTTTTTATTTTTATCCTCAATTAACAATGTCATATTATTCTACTTCATACTAATATCTCATTTTTATTTCTTAACTAATAAATTATCTTTTTATTTCTGACACAAATGCTGTATTAGAACTTGAATCATTCGATTGGCTTTAGTTGATATGTTCAGAATAAAAATAGAATGTAATTTGGATTAAATAATACCTATTTAAACTGACAACAAAATATCTTCAAAGTCGTTCTAATTATTACTTAATTCAACAATAATATCATTCAGTATACTGATGTATTACTTTTACAATTCATCCGTACATTAATTCACTCGAGTTAGTATTGAGTCAACTATGAGAATAGCTTATAAAAGTGAACAATAGGACATTGATATGATTAGATTTGAGTGTGAGTTTGGGTATGAGTCGACTTGAAATCCATTTCGAAGTTTCTCAATGTAACTTTGTTCAAAGATTAAATAGTTTCATAAAACATTGAAAATTATCCAAGATACCACAGAGCTAGTCATATATTTCACGAGAGAACAGCTTCCACCTTAATGTTGTCTCCTTAAAGTCTTTCAGTCTCATCAAGTATCATACTATTTGCATTTTGACAGAACGATTTTCAATCAGTTTTTATTCATAATATAGATAAAATAATAATTTCATCACAGGCTATACATTATATAAAAGAATGTACTAAATCACTTCATTCAATTAATTTACCATCTTCTATATATATCAAACGAAATGTCTTATGACGACTTGTACGAATACCCATTATCAGTGCACCAAGTTTTTCTATAAGATTTTTATTTATAATATCAATATATTTATTTTATTCCTTATCCCTCGCAATCACCTATACAAACATTCGCAAAAAATATGAATATCCTGCAACTGCATTAGTAATATCAAAAATAGAAATGAAACTATTCAGCCAATTAGAGAATATTATTAGTATGAATTTAACGATACAATATATAAGACAACTGAATAGTTAATGTAGAACGAAACTAAAAAAACAATATTCCCATTTGTTTTTTGAGATAACAATAAGCGAGATTCTATTGAAAGCCATTTGGATTATTTGATTGCCATCGCCATAAGTCTTGACCTAATTATATATGACATAATTCATTTATAATAAAACTACTTTACTTACACATATCATCTAAACCTCGTTGAGCTGTCCATCCAAGTTCTTTAGCAGCTAAACTACAATCAGCATAAACAGAAGCAAGATCACCTGAACGTCGAGGGCAATTCTTATAAGCAATAGTTTTTCCTGATGCTTTTTCTAATGCTTTAATCATCTCTAACACTGAATAACCTTTACCGGTACCAAGGCTATATATCTTAATATTACGAAAAGAATAACACAACTAGAAATATTTTACAAAAATTCTTTATAAATACTTGAAGACCACATTTATCTTTAAACTTCTTCATTGCTGCTATATGACCTTTAGCCAAATCAACAACATGAATATAATCTCGTACACCTACATACATACATTTAAATCAATTCTTAATTATTGAAAAAAAAATTGAATACATTAATCTGTTCCATTCGGTGTATCGTAATCAGTACCCGTGACATTTACATTTACATGTGATAATCTACCAACAGCTACTTGAGCAACATACGGCATAAGATTATTTGGTGTACCAACAGGATTCTCACCAATTAAACCTGATTCATGAGCACCAACAGGATGTAAAATAACGTAAAAGAATAATATTCCAATCCTAAAATAAGTTTATTTTCAATGAAAATTATTCTTCTTAAAATAATATATTTGAATACAAACAGAGTGAGCAACAGTTGTATCTTTAAGAACATGTTCACAAATATATTTATTCTTTGGATATGGATTTGTAATAGCATCTCCAACACATGGATGTTTTTCATCAATGGTAAATATTTTGGTGTGCCATAAACAGTCGCTGATGATGAAAAAATAAATTTTTTACATTAAATGCTTCCATGCACCATGAAAATTTACTATTATATGAAAATATTACGGTAAATAAATTGAATAAACAACTAACGTTGTTTTGATAATATAAAACTGGTTTTTTAACAGATTCACCAACAGATTTTAAAGCAGTAAAATTAATAATAGCATAAATAGAATGTTTTTGAAAACATCTCGTAAACTTTATAAATCAAGACAATCAATTATATAATTTGTTATTTTCGATCCAGTTATTTGTTCAACTCGTTTTAAACATTCTAAAATATAATAGAATCACTCTTTTTTTCATCAAATATATTCAATTATACTTATAGAAGAATTTGACAAATTATCAACTACAATAGGCTCATATCCAGCATTGATAAGTTCAATAACACAATGACTAACAATAAAACCAACCTCACCTGGTACCAAAACTTCAAGTTTATTTTGATCATCTTAATGCAAGAAATTTTTTGCATTTAATCGGTTTTCTTTATCGAATATTAATAATCATATATCTTACTTGATGTAGCTGCCATTATATTCTAATCAGATGATCCGAAAAACATGAGAAGCGCATGCGGTGAACTGTGTTGATAAGCAAAAAAGAAAGAAGCAATAATTTTGTATTGAGAATGAATAACTCACAAAAAGAAAAATGAAATCCACAGATAAGCGAAATATTAATGAAAATCAAACTTTGCATTTTTTCACGTTACAAATTAACCTATAGAAATACAACAAAAGAAAAAGTAGAAAATTGAATATCGCGGGGAGAATCTGATTTTCCATTCAATAACAACATATTTGAAATTTCGATTTTCTAATTCTCATTTTCCATCGTACAGAGAAATTAACATTACATATACACAGATAAAATTTTGGAATGTCTTAAGAAATGTACAGAAAGCAAATATTGATCAATACGATTGGGAATTTCACAAGAAAAGAAAGTTACACTACAACACAAAGAAACATGAGAACTAAATTTTAAAAAAGAAAAAGTATGAAATTCATTAAATAGAATTAGCAACAATAGTTGCTGGATCACGTCGAGATTGATTAATAGCATTAAAATTAACATCAAATACAATTAAACAACCTGTAGAAAGACTAGCTATGCTATATGTAAATAAAAGAATTTCAAGAAAGCTAAAACATTGAATATATAATAGAGTCTGAAAACTATCTGAATATTAAGAAAACAAATGAACTACAATGCTAATTACTTTCAAACTCGGTATTATTAATAGTTTGAGAAATATGAAATTCTTACTTTTGATCATGAGTAATAGCTAATGAACGAATACTAGCATCACATTGTGGATAAGCATAAACCGATTGTAAATCATGTATACGAAGAATTTATACAAAACTACGATCACCTCCAATAACCGTATATTGACTATCGGAATTTAGTACCATATTCTAGAATAATTAGTAATTTTTCTTATATTTCAAAGATAGATAAAAAAGAAAGAAGATTTTATACTTGAATAGTTTCATCTTCAAAAATTGCTTGTCTCATTAATTTTCCATTTAATGTATATAAATATAAATTGGATCGACTGTAACAAACAATAATATCACCATCATTTGATGGTGCTAATAAACGTGGTGTAGACATATGACATGGATTTTCAAAAGCTCGTAATATATCTCCAGTAAGTGTATGTTGAAGTATAAGACTATGTTCACTACCACTTACAACAATTCCAAGTTCAGCTGATATCCATAAACATGTTATTTCACTATCATGACCTGTTAAAATTGCTGATGGTTATGGATTGATATTTAATAAAAATAAATAAATAAAGATAAATTTGATTTATTAAAATGAATCTTACCTTTGTTGTGGTAATCCATAACGACCACCAACACCAACTCGAAGTAAAAAATTGGCAACTTTTTTTTACAATAGTACGATCGGTAAAGGCAAACATAAAACCTGCTGAAAAAGAAAAGGAGCATCATATATATTAATTCTTGAGGTAAAATAGAATTTCGACAGAATTTTTTATGGGCGGGGTGTGAGTGTGAAGCTTGTTAGTCATATGCTTTCACGCTCACACCCATATCCAAGTTTATTGAAACTATTTGTTTTAGAATTTACTGTGTTTATTTAAAATACTTGATTTATATATACATAGTATACAAAAATATGTGAAATGTTGTAAAAGAAAGCTATAATTCTGAAATACTTGATTATCATTTAAATTAATATGAGTGACTAGAAAATGTCGATCAATTTTCGTAAGTGCTCTGTTATCGTGCAGATCCACTTAAAAGGTTTATCTTATTTCATTTCATTCAAAACTCTCAAATTGAATATCATCAATTTTTTGTTTTTATATATTAAAGAGCGAATGTTAATCGATCAACAAATAGTAATGATTTAACTGTTCTTTCATTAGTTTATGTTTAGAAAACACGCAAGCAAAGCAAGATTCATTTTGATGAGGAATATAGTCTCCGTTCAAAATATATATTTTTATTTTACCAAATAATTCAATCTAAATTATTGTAACATCATAACATAGACTATTAAAATCTGTTGTATGAAAATAAATATATCATATAATAAGTATTTTATACTTATTGATAGAATTTTACTTGAACTTTGTTTGTTATGTAGAAGTACAAATAAAATTTATACAAAACTTATTTTCATTGATTTCACTATTGATAACATTGAACTTATCCTTAAAATGTGAATAAGTACAAGCTGTTACCAATATGAAGATATTTATCAAAGATGGCATCATATGTTCATAATCAATCAATTCATTATATATATAGTTTTCTTAATTTCTTTTTTGAATCTAACGAAAATTTTGTAGTAATTTATATCATATATTTCTTTTTTTTCTATTAACTACGCGAACAATTATTCATCATAAGCAACTTTATGATCTCGTGGTCAATACTACTAAAAAAAAAGAGACCAATCATTTTCATTTCGTTGCTATTCATGATAAGTCTTATACTTCTTTTTTTTTTACTTTCTTCTATACAGGACGTGGTATATGGACGGCTCACATTGGGGTCATATACCCTCATGATCGTGTCCTTTTCTTTTCTGTTCTTTATTTTAAAGTCCCCTTCTACCAATAGATATGCGCGTTGATCACGTCCAGTTCATATTTGCCTCTATCGAGGGGTCATCTTACGGTCACGTCGTCGTACAAGATATTTTCTTCTTGTATACATTCGTGATCATCAAATAGTGTGGTTGTGCCCGCTTTAACTATTCTCATTTTTTTTCTTCTGTTCATTTGCCTCGCGTTCACTCGACACTATCTGCTACTTCTAGATCGGTCATTGTCGTCGTTGTTGGATAGGAACCCCCCATCATTTTAGTTATATTACATCAACTTAATTTTTGTTTTCGACATATAAAAATGGCACATAAAAGTCCTCGATATTGTTTATATCGAGAATTTGTTGATGCTTTCATGAAAGGTCACCCTGAAATGACTCGATGTGTAAGTATTCAATTAAAAAAAATCTTTATTTAATCGTAAAATTTTTTTTTTATCTAAAGACATCACATCATAGTGCTCAAACTGAATGGAATGAAATAAAAAAAGATGAAGAATTAGTTCGAAAAAAAATAACTGATTATCTTGATGTTTGGAATAAAGCCGGTGCAACTACAACAACTAATACTACTACTACTACTACTGCTGCTGCTGCTACAGCAAAAAAATCTGGTCAAACAAATGGTAAAAAAGGGCCAACAAAGAAAAGTACTCGTAAACGAACACATTCAACTGAAGATGAAGATCCAAATTATGATCCAAATGTTGTTGAATCTGAAACTCCAACATTTACAAAACGTGCTAATAAACAACCAACGGAAGAAATGGATGATGAAACTTTAGCTAAAGAAAAACCATGGATTGCTCGTTCGAATGCTAAAGCTGCTAAAAAGAAAGCTCAAGCTAAAGCTCAAGCTGAAAAAGAAGAAAGTGAAAAAATTAAAACACCAGCACAAGAATCTGTATTAAAAGATTTAAAAGAAATATCTGAACGTATTGCTAATTTAATTCAAGTTAAAAGTATGGGTTTATTAACAGCTGAAAATCAAAAAACATTAAAAAAATTAATTGAACAAAAAAAACAACGTACAACAGATTTAAAACGTCTTCAATCGAAACAACGTGCATCAACACGCTATCGTGAAAGAAAAAAACGTCGTGTTGAACAATTATGTGCTTCTAATCCTGAAGTAGCTGCTGAACTTTCAAAAATATTTCGACCAACAACAATGAGAATGCAAATTGAAGAAGATTGTCCGGATCTTTTACAAATTATTGCAGAAATTGCACGTGTTGGAGGAGCATCTGATAATAAAGGCAAAGCATGTGTATCATTAGATGATCTTAAAGATAAAATAAAAGAACGAGGATATGAAATTCGAAAATCTTCACTTTATTATCGGTATGTCAACAAAAATAAAATATTCTACTTTAAATAAAAAAAAATTTATTTTTATTTAGTCTTATGCCTAATCGTGCATTATCACATGATGGTAAAAAACATGTTGTTACTGTTCCTATTCGTCTTCGTAAATTACAAGGAATTGCATTACCACCACCCCATGAAGGTAACTATTAAAAAATAAGAACGTCTTTTTTTTCTACCTTTATTTGTTCATTCAGATTGTCATTTTACTGCTGCTGCATTAAGACATATCAAAGATTTAGCAGGTATTTTTGGTAATGATTGTGTTTTTTATTTAACACAAGATACTAAATCCAAGGTTAGTATTGGTCGACCTTCAGCTAAAGGTCAAGCACCACTTATTATGCATATGGATTATGAAATAAGTTCAGCTGAACCACAAGCAACATCAACTATGACAAATCATCAACTTAAACCATGGTAAATCTATCTATATTAAAATATTATGAATTAAAAAAAAATGATTGTTATTGTTTTTAGTGTTTATGCTGCATCACTTATTGATGAAGCAGGTTTAATTAGTTGTGTTGGTCCAACATATGTTTCTATTCGATCAGCTAAACATGATCGTATAACACATGAAACTCATGCAATTGATTTTGATCGTTTAGTACAAATGAAAGAATTTGAAAAATTTGCACGCGATCATCTTGGTCGTGTTAAACCCATTGTTGTTATTAATGTGGATAATTGTGGTTCAGAAAATAATACACGTTATCCAAAAGTACTTTCAACAGCTATTGATAAATTTAAAAAACATAATTTAGATGCACTTATTATGACAACACAAGCACCAGGTCAAGCTTTATTTAATGTTGTTGAACGACGTTTATCACCAATGTCACATGATTTAGCTGGTCTTATTTTTCCACATGATCATTTTGGTACACATTTAAATGATACAGGTGTAACTGAACATGCTGAATTAGAAAAAACAAATTTTAAAATGGCTGGCGATGTTTTAGCTGAAGTTTGGAGTATGAATGTACTTGATGAACATCCTGTTGTTGCTGAATATATTAATCCATCACCATTAGTTGATGAACAACTTAAAATGGCTGATAGTACATTAACTTTAGATAGCATCATTGATCGGTATGATATTTGAAGATATAGAATAAAAAAACAGATAATAATTAAGTTTTTAATCTTCTTTAGAGTTTGTGCTGAAGAAGATGAAGAAGCACCACTTGATCAACGCGTTAGTCAAACACGTCCAACTACAACCATTCCAACAACAGAAATCAAGACCGAATACGATATTGATGAGTAAGAAATTATCTATATATATCTAAGTCTAATGTAGCTTATACTATACTCAAAATCACATCTACAAACTGATATATACTAGAAATAAGATTTCATAAATATAACTTAATTACTAAGAAAGCCAGATTATGAAGTATGTCTTTTATTGTAGATATTGGTGTGCAACTCATGTTCTTCAAACTCAATATACAATACAAATTATTCGTTGTAATAATCCATCATGTTGTACACCATGGCGTTCAAATTATATTCAGGTATTTCCTCATCGGTTTCTTCCACCACCTGTACCATTTAATCGTTCATCACGTGGTGTTAAAATGGCTGAAATTGAATCATCATCAGCAGCATTAAATTCAATTTCACCATTTTATGGTAATCTTTTTCAACGTATACAATTTCATGGTATTGTTATTAATCGTACACATAATGATTTATTACCATTTGATGCATGTTGTCCATCTTTACAAACAAGTTTACCTGCACGTGTATGTTCAATTTGTAAACAATATATCCCATCATCAATACGTTTACGTAATCATTATAAAATTCATGAACAACAATATGCATCAAATTTCTTAGATTATAATAATAATAAAGAAGAAGATTGTCTTGATGATAGTGATTTTAATGATCCATATGAAATGTCAATGATACAAATAAAACCGACACAAACTAGTGTTTGCTTATTTACAGATATGATTGAATGGTTAAGATCAGATTTTGAAGATGATCCTATTGTTGATACAAAAGCAAAATCAATAGCAGCAACAGCATCAGCTAGTATTCGAAAAGATAAACAAATGGCTGCTGCTCAAGCAACAATGGCAACAACGATGACAACGACTACTACAGCAACAACAACTATACAAGAAGAGAAATGTATGGCAATGACTACAAGAAGTAAAACTGTTATAAAAGAACAAGTTACAACAATAAGTGATAGTACTCAAATGTCAACAACGACATCAATAACTACTGAAACTAAATGTTTAGGTGATACTCAAACAGAAAATGGCAGTATGTTAGATGCTATGGAACAATTAGGTATGGTAGATGATACAGCAAGTTCAATTGAACGAGTACCAAGTCAACAAAGTTGGGATGATCTTGATGATCTCATTGACAAAATTTAATTTTAGTTCATTTTAATATTCTTTTTCAGGATTTTTGCTTTATATCTTTTTTTTCTGTTTTGTAACATGTGTTTTGTAAAAACCAAATCATTTTTAATCACTTTATACTATTTCAATAGTTTAGTCTTGTATTATGAGCGCGTGTTTTTTGTCTCATAGATACATTTCTGTAAAACTTTTGTTTTTCTGTTTGTAGTATGTTTTTCTTTTTTTTTGTTTCTAGTTGTCAAAATGATTAAGAAGATGATGATGATTGTAAAAATAACTGTATGGATGCATGCATTCACTGTTTCTTTGTAGTTATGGTTTTGTGAATAAAAATTTTGAGAAATGTTTTCAAAAAAACTTTTCTGAAGATGACAAACTTCTGTTGTATTCATTATTGACGAATTACAAAATCCGTATATTAAAAGTCTAATAGATTTTCTGCAAAAATATGTATAAAATTTATCATACTACAATGATTATTTTTTTCAGCTTACTTGAATATCATGTTATCTTGTCAAATAATATTCAAACACGATATGACATTGTAATTGATTATATAATTAGTTTTCGTACTATAAAACTGTTTGCTCATCGATAACTGACAAAATAAGGGAATCTTATGTAAACGAATAGTTAAAAAATAACTTATGAATGAATCGCCATAGTTCGATCTGATCTAATGTAATAAATGATATCTTTTTCTTTATTTTAATGCAACAAGTTCAGTTATGAAGAAAGAATTTTACAACAGTTAGAATACATAAAAGAAAACATGATTTTTAGTCATTCGATGATGGTACTTTTAAACGAGAAGTAGATGTAATTGAATGATAGTTATTCTTAGCACTAGATAATGTTAAATCATCTTTAATCATTGGTATTGAACGTGATAAAGGTTGAAGATCAAGAAGTGAATCTTCATCTTTTAAATTATTCTGAAGTGATATTCGACGTAAATTTTGAGTACGTACAGGTGGTGGAGCAGCACTTTCACCTCTTAGCACCGGATCAAGAAAAGAAAAATCCATTGGTTCAATAACTTCAGGTAGTTGAGAATGTATTTTTAATGAATTCAATGAATTTGTAATTGGTAATGATTGAGTATCAGTTTGTGTTTTTTCCGATGTTGTTAGCTGATCATTATTTGATAATGAATTTGGAGAAATACTTCGATGTCGATGTCGTGTTGTTGAATTTCGACGTGATGATGATAATGGAAGCATCACTGGTGGTCGATCATCCGGTTCTTCTAATACAATTTGAACAAAAGATTCAACTGGATCATCGACAGTTTGAGTTATCGCATCGAGTGGTGTCATGAGTTCAAATGGAATAGTTGGTGTCGCTGATGATCCTGGAATTCTTCCATCATAAATAGTTACTGTACGTCGTTGATCTTCATATGATACATTTGATATTGATGATTCATTTGAAGTTGCTGCTCCAGGAAATAAATAAAGTGAACCACTATTACCAGTTGAAGATAATTGAATAGTTGGATCCGGTTGACCACAATATGAAGCACGACGTGCTGATCCAATAAGATATTGAAATGTTGTTGAAGCTGTACGCATCATCGAACTTGTTGAATCCAAAAGCATACTAAGCGATGAATTTTTTTGTTTAAACATACACGTTTCACTTCCACCAAATTCATCTGGATATTGTATATTATAAGCGGGTAATCGAAGTAACGGACTATCGGAGAGACGTCGTTGACTCGACTAAACAATTCAAAAATATATATTCAATTTATAACATGTAATAATCTTTTTCTTTTTAAAATAAACATATTTAGATCGAATTCTCTTGAGACAAAAAAAAAATATTAAGAACTAATTTCAATTTTCTTTAAATTAATTTCCGACGAAAAATAATTAAGTCAATTTATAGATGTCATCTAATAGTTTTGTTATCGAACGAATTGACCTCTTCATCGATAACATACAATTATATAAAAACTACTCTTTGCCTATATTTCAATTATTTCTGCTAGAAAAAAATTGAATAAGTACGTGTACTTACTAACTTACATTATACATTTATTAAAGCTAACTGAGCAGAAACAAAAAAATATCTGTTTTATTTAGGCAAATGAAAATAATTATTAGAAATAATAAATAAATAAATAAATCATATAGAATTATTCAACTAAAAAATTGATATAATAAACTAATAAATTATTGTTTTGTTGACATTATATTTTTAATCTCTAAATTCATTTTTCTACTTACATGATTAACTTGTCCCCTAGCATCAGTATATCCTATAAAATTGGCACAAGCAGATAGTCTTCGTTGATCCATATTTTATGAATTATTACTATTGTTATTATAAATTGTATTGACAATATGAATAGATGTGCGTGTTGTGAAGCATTGCTGTCCAATCAAAGAGAAAAACACTCATTTACAATATCCTGTTCTACGCATTTATGAACTTCTTTTTTTTTCTGTTTGTATCCTATGTCGTTAGTTTTTCTGTTAGTATGTGAAGAAAAAAATTTCATTTGTAAGAAGAGAAGAACATATAAAAGCAAAAAATAGACCCTAATCATTTTCTCGCATTTTTTCTTTTTCTTTTGCTTTTTCTAGAAGAGATAATTCTTTTCTTAACATGTTTCACACAATCTCACTTGTAATGAAAGTAATCAGTAAAAGAAAAATTGAACGAGAAATATATAAATATATATATGTATTCATAAGTGTCAATTTTATGAAGGCGGATATTTTCTGATCTTCACATGTCGTCCCATATATTTTTCCTTTCATATAACTTGTTAGTTTCTTATTAATTATGATTTCTTTGACACTCGTTCGGAGATATTTTCATCATTCTTATTTATATAAAAAATCCTGAAATAGATCGTGTGAATGACTTCGAACAATAAACAGTCAACTATAGAAAGAAACATGTCGTCATTTATGCATAAATATGTATTTATTATAAATTTTTTCTTCTTTTATATTATTAATCGTTAAAGAAAAACAAAAGCTAACAATATTGTAAAGAATTCTTCTAATCGTTTATATACTTAAATTTTAAAACGGATTATTAAGTCTACTTCTATAATCTGAAATGAATTGATTGTGGTAATAATATAACTAAATACAAAAACAGATTGATTTATTTTTTTCTATAAATATATGCAAATTTGTACCGATCGATTTTTGAGCATATTTCCTTTCTTTTGTTTACAAGCATATTACAATTGTTTTTCGACTAATTTATCTATTCATGCCGAAGGACTATAATGTATAGAATAATAATAGGACATGAATTATGCTTCTTATTTGTCAATCAATCATTTCTATCAATTTATTTAAAACATCAAATAAATTCTGACATTATAAAGATTGAGTAGATCAAACGAAACAAATGACTTAATTTTATTATACTATAACTTTCAGTATGCCTACTCAAATTCTATTTTTATACATACCTGATTATCGAGAGTAAAAGCAACATTTGGTGTTGATTTATGTAATGAATAATTTGGAGATAGATTTTGATTGTGAAGATTTGGTGGTGCTAATGATGAATTACTGTATGAAAACATTTATTTTTGTCACACGTTCAAAACTTGTGAGTGGCAAAAAAAATGTTGAATACAATCTTTTATATAGGTGGTATAAGAAGAAATTAATTAAAAAGAGAGAAAATAATAAACCATGTATTCAATCTGTTGCAAACAGAAACAACAGCTTATTTGTCTGACGTTATTTTCTATAGGTTTGTTGTTGTTGTTGTTAGGATAGATGAATAAGAATATTTTCATACTAAACTCGTCATTATATTATATTATCGTCTCTCTTACGTATAATTGTGCTTCGAATTACAATGAATGTGTCGTTCGCTAAGCCTATAAAATTTAATAGATATATAAAAAGACGAAGAAGAAGAGAAAAAGAAGAAATGCATGATCAATAATATTCTATGACGTTATTGTCTTTTTTGTTTCTTATAATAATATAGAATTCTTTACCTGTTGTTCGTCTATCGAACTAAGTTAACTAATGAATCAATTTAATACGATTTATCTTCTTGGAATAGACTATAATGAGCTGTCAAAAACATGAATATTCTCGAATAGAAGTAAACGTCAAAGTCATTTGAGAAAAATTGTAAGATGTTAGTAGAGAATTATATTTTAATGAAGTTTTTATGACCTTCTATACATTTTACAGATAATAAAAAGAAGTAATAATAACAAACGGGAAGAAAAAGGAGAGTATATAAATTCGTTTATTATTATTGATAAAGAAAGCAATTGAAGAATATCTAGTTTCAATCAATGATAATCAATTATTGAAAATCTAATCGTTCTTTTCTCTATGGGATATAATTATTTAGAAAAACAATATCTATATAAAACATTTTTATGATATTCATTAAAAGAAATCCGTGTAGTACAACTAATTTTTAGTCCGAAATCTATTTTATTTATAAAGAAAAAAAAATTTTTTTATTTTTGTTTATGATGTTGTAAATATTTGTTTGAACCAACGACCTAGAAATGTTTTTTTAAATTTATACATATAAATTTTTGATGGATAAATATAGATAAAAAATGTAATTGATGGTGGTAAATAAACAAGAATATTCAAAGCAATATGTATTCGAAGTAATGTTGTATTTCGTACATCTTCACATAAATCTTTTAAATGAAGAATTAAATGTGGAAAATTTGATAAAATAATAAATAAAGGTGGAATAAAAAAATGTTTACGTCTTATACATTCATTAATAAATACTTGAAAATAATCATGACGACTATAAACAAGTAAAATACGTCGTGTCATACTAGTCAATATACAAATACTAGTGATAAAATGTATAGAACATGGAATAATAATATGACTTGTACGAAATATTTTATCGATTATATCTAATGGTAATGGATAAATAAATGTACATGTATATGAACTTGGTTGATAAGGATCAGGTAATAGACGTCGAATAATTATTTCATGAAGATGTGAACCACCTACTAATAGAAAACATAATATTGATGATATAATAGAAAACCATCGAGATCGATAGACATTTAAATTAAAACATTCTAAAAGAACAAATTCTATTGCTAATAATGCACTTAACCACATACAAGTATCACTTGTAATAATAACAATAACAGGTATTATATTACATGCTATATATCTATAAGAATAAGCTTGTGTCAATGAATCAAATTCTAACATAGTTAACATTCTTAATTGCATACCAAGAATTGTAATTAAACCAGTTAAACAATATAATATTTGAAATATTCCACAATTAGTTAAACGTATATCATGCAAAAAGAAAGTTTGTAAACATGCAATATTATTCACTAGAGCTATTAGTAACATAAATGCAATAGTAAATGTATAAGCAAATTTTGGAATATTAAAATTTGATTCAATTGAAGTTTGTTCAATATCCCAATACATTGCAAATGTTAATGAAAATTTGATTACATTAACACTTATTTCACATGCTGCACCAATAAAACATGGTGGACATATACATGTATTATTAGGTGAACATGTACCATTATATAAACAATTAATAGCACAACTCATTCTCAAAAACCTAACGATCAAATACTCATACGTCTATTAAATGAGATCGAATTTTTGGTTATATTCTCCGGAAGGCATATGAAAGTTTTTTATTGAAAGAATATTTTCAAAAACGTCGTAGTTTATTGAGGTATGTTTAGTAGAGACCGTACAAATTCAATTCATCTCGATACAAAACGGAAGAAAAAAAAATAATATTTATGAATATAAATATTAACCTCGGTATGATGCAGTACAAGTCTTCAGGGGTTAAACGACTACTACTATAGTTCTTGAAATAAATAAGTAACCGGTTTTTGTAATTCATGAAAAAGTTTCGATTTTTTTTCTACATTCAATTAATATAGCAAAACAAAAAAATGAAATCAACTTAATTTATAAACGATTACAAAACAAGAAATAATAAACGTTTATATAATAAAATTTAATTAAAATAATTACATGTGATTAAATTTTTAAAAACTTCCTTTCTCTTTTTTTCCATTATTTTTCAAATAAATATAGTTCAATTAGTCTTCAAAATAAAAGATTTAGACATTTTATTTATTTGATAAAATTTGAATCGAATGGCTTGACATACATTAGATGAATATAAAAAATTAGTTATAATGATAAAGTAGTTATTTTGCATTTCAATATAATAAGCTTTCCGGTGCGGTGCTTACCTTTTTGTCTTTAGTTGTGATAGAAATGTGTTCTTTGATCTTGGCATCGATCCTCTAAGAGAAAGTATTGTAATAAGTATTCTCTCTCATCCCTGGAGGAACTTATTCGTTAATGCATGTTAGAATTTTCTTCTGTTACTGTAGAGTTACATCCGTTGATTCTAAGTATTGAGAGTATTTTTATATGATTTTTTTTTTGTTGTTCTTGTAGAAATATATTTGGTGAGTTCAGTATTAGAAGAATATAATTTTAGTCGAGTAAACTGAGCAGGAAAAACTTGTCTTTAAGCTTATACTTTCTATTGTATGAAAATAAAGATATGAGAATATATTTATTCAAAATAATTACTATTCTTGTTAATAGTGTTCACTTAAAATAATTTTTTCATTGATTTCCTTTTTATTTATATCATGTCATAAAATCCAAAACAATTTTATTTCTGATATAAATAAAAACAAAATCATTATTATTCTCTCAAATAGTGCAAAAACTGAAAAGTCTCAACTGAACATATTATTCTCATACTTTCACTTTCTGTTAATCATATATTTAGATAGAAAAAACCCTATACTGTTCGTTCATTTTAGTACAAAAAGAAATGATTGTCAAACAAAAATAGAAATCCTTCTAGAAGGTAGTGCTTTTTTTATTTCGTACAAATATAAAATCAATATTTTTGTATTTTTGTCTTTTTCAAGTCATCATCATCATCTACAAACATTTTAGATTTTATTTTTTCAAAAAAAAGAAAAAAAGTCTTTCTTTATTTATTCAAATATACAAAAAAAAATAATACTTCGAATCTGGCTGCATCAAAAGTTGTCGATTTATTTCGTATACCATACGTACGCAATGATTTTTTGGTTTATATCAATCTTTAGGAAAAGTTTTTTTTCTTCATATACATATATATTTTTTACTTTTTCTATTAATTTTAATTGAATCGATAGTGTGAATAAGATTTCGATAATGCAAGGAAACAAAAAATACACATAGAATCATTTATTTTCTTGTTTTCTTTACTTTATTCTTGTGATAGACAATGACTTTATTTGAAGGTGAAGGACGTAGAGAAAATAAGGTGAGCAGCATTAAAAAGAACAGTAGAAAAGAAAAAGAAATCTTTGAAAATTACATGCTCATAGTGTTGTTCTGCGTTGAGTCAATACATGAATAACAAAAAATTGTAGTTTATTATTTCACACATACATTCACGTTGAAACATACAGAATAGGTAACTTAAGAAATCAATGTCTAGCAAAATTGAGACGATTTAGAACATATAGAAAGAAAATTTTTCATCATTCGTCATGCAGCAGGGGCATGGCATTAAAAAAAAATTCTAATGTACATAAACGCTATTGCGTAAAGATATAAAAAGAATTCAGATCACGCACTTTGACCATTTTGTTTTTGTCTGAGAGAATAAAATAGTTTTATTTTAAATGCTTTATTCTATCGAATACTTGAGAAATAATAGAATGTTAGGTTTTTTTTTAGTAGATTCAAATAGTTAATAGATGAGAGAATATCCAAAAGAAATTTTCTGAATTTTCGTTAGTATCGATTACATAAGAAATCATTTGTATTGATGTTATATTACATCTAAAATTATTCAAATTCCTTTTTCTTTAACGCTACATCATCTATCTTTGTTATGATCCCTATTGTATCTCGTGCTGTGTCAACTAAGAAACGTTGAAATTTTTTTTTTATAATAGTCACACACATAGAACAAAGTCACACATTGTAATTTTTATGATAATAATAACGTCGGATAGAACGAAGGAAGCTTTGGTCCCATCCCTGTCGTCTTTACTCCGTAAACGTATGACAAACTCCATTACTTCATAATATATATGCAAAAAAAAACAACGAGAAATAACCAACATATTATAAGAATTAATTAATTAATTAAATAAATTTTCTTTTCTTTCTTTTTATATTCAGTTAAAAATCCGTCGAAGAATGACTTCATCAAGTATGTCTTGTTATGCAAATAGTTCAGCGGCTAGTACATCAAGTCGTACGAATGATAGTGACACGATTTTAATGGCAAATAAATTGAGTAATATTCGTTTAGGTGGACGTGAAGAACGACAACAAGCACTGGATCGTTTGGAAATACTTAAAACGGTAAGATGATATGATACTTTCTTTTTTTTATCATAAGTAAATAATTTAAGTTAATCAAATAGCATAAGATTTTTTATTGGTGATCACAAACAAAAGAATTCAATTTTTAGTTTTTAATATAAAGCAATGAATAAAAGGTTGATTATATTGTTATTTCAAGAAATGACATAGTTCAAAAAAGAAAAACTTTGCCTAAATGCAATAGTCATAATTAAATTGAACTTTTCTCTAATCTATAGTCTTCAAAAAGAAAAACTACAAAACGTAATCTTCTTATGGAAAGAAAAAAGCTCATTGATAACATCATATGTTCTTGTTATTTAATCTTGACTAATGTCAAGAAGTCGTTTAATCTAGAAAGATTTCTAGATATTAATTAAATATTTCATATTCAAAGGTTGGTACCGGTTCATATGGCCGTGTTCTTGTAGTACGAGATCGTGATACAAAAGACTATTATGCATTAAAACTATTGTCTATTAAATCTGTTATTGTATCTCAGCAGGTAAAATTTATCTAACAAAAAATGTTTTAATTAATATATTAATTATCATTTAAAATCAGACTGAACATGTTAAAAATGAAAAAGATATATTATCAGCTTTAAGACATCCATTCATAATTCGACTTTATTGGACACATCATTCGGATCAATTTCTTTATATACTTCTTGATTATATACCTGGTGGTGAACTATTTACATATATGAGAAGACGAGGTACATTTGATTTAAAAACGTCTTTATTCTATATATGTGAAATCATTGTTGCATTTGAATATCTACATTCATTACAAATTATTTATCGTAAGTTTATACGTAATTTAATTGTCTGTTTTTTTTGGAATTAAAAAGTTATTTAATATAGGTGATTTAAAACCAGAAAATATTCTTCTTGATGGTGAAGGGCATGTTAAACTTGTTGATTTTGGTAAGAAAGAATTATATGATATTAGGAACATATGTTTCTTTTCATTTTTAATAATAAATAGGTTTTGCAAAGAAAATTTCAAATAAAACATTTACTACTTGTGGTACACCTGAATATTTGAGTCCAGAATTAATTAAAACTGCAGGTCATAATAAATGTACAGATTGGTGGAGTTTAGGAATATTATTATTTGAAATGTTAACTGGAGGTATGAATAATTTTTAGATTTATTTGATAAAATATATCAATTTATTCTTATGATTAGTAACACCATTCAATCCAGATGGAAAGGATAATGAAATTCATGGTCGTATTTTAGCTGGTAAAATTACATGGCCGACAAATTTAATAAATGAAGTAACAAAAGCATTTATTAAAAAATTATTAACACAAAATCCTGATAAACGTCTTGGTGCTGGTCGAAATGGTTCACGTGAAGTAAAAGATCAACCAATATTTCTATCTACTAGATGGGATGATGTTTCTGCAAGAAAATTAAAACCACCAATTGTACCTAAACTTGAGCATCCAGGTGATACACAATGTTTTGATCTATATGATGAAGATTGGAAATCAGTAGCATTTGCATCCGATACGGAACTTGCTATGTTTTCAGATTTTTGATGCAACGATAAATAATACAATGTTTTTTGTATATGTAACATTTCTTAAACTTATCAAGAGTTAGTCATAAATAACGGTTTCGTTTTTTTTTTAATCGAGGTTTCTATCAAACTTATTTGTACAAATAAAATTAATATAATATGAGTATTCATATAATGTCTACAAGAATGATAGAGTAACTATATTTTCATAATGATTATTTGATTTAAATGATGAAAAATATTTTCAATGTAACATTTTTTTGTCTATGGATTGTTTCGGTTTTATAAATGAATTTAACTTATTTTCTATATGATTATAATTAGAGGATTTTTTTTATTTGTTCGCTATACAATCTAATAGAATATAGTTTATGATAAACATATATCTGTATTGTCATCTTCTATCAACAGTCACTTAGAGTTACAATTAGTAGCTTCTTCTCCGTTCGGATTCTAGCATCGTTAGAAACGATTAGCCTTGACAAGTATGAAATATATTGATTGATTTTTCTAATATTTCAACAAACAAATCAACTACGCAAATAGTCCTATATACAATTCAAACAATTATATAGAAATCTTTTTTTCTCAGTACATTTTATTCAATGTTAAACAATATACTGTATATCTATTCATTAAAACTTTAGTTTTTTTATAGATGTATTGCCGATTATGAATTGTTTACATCAGAATTGTAATTACATGAGATAACGAATCGAATCGGTTGAAATAGATCGATCAACTGACTTTCATTGATTTAAAGGCGTTTATAATAAAATATAACGAGTGAAAATTTAATTTTTTTTTTAAATTATTACTCGTCTGCGACTGTGCTAATTTATAATTAGTATTCAAAGATAAAGGTCATATTACACTATAGAATCTGTCGAAATATTCAAGATTTATAATCTCATATATTTTCTTCTGACAAGTAGCTTGTCTAATTCAAGTTCGAAAATAATTCCAACGTTCAAAAGTTCTTTTAAGCCACCATTAGATAGCTTATAATGAATTAACTAGTTTGAAAATGTTCGATTTTAACTCTAACTTTTTTCCCTCACTAATAGGAAGTGTCAAAATCTTACATTTATTGGTATGCAAATTGATCCAATAAGAGAATGAACAGATGTCTCTATAAAACAATATAAAAGCTTTTTGTAAACTCAAAAGAAGTTAAGAACGTTTGATTATGAAATATTCAATTGATTTGAATTTTTCTTATTTGTATTTCAATCATTATCTTTTTTTCAGGTCGAGACGACCGGAATAGGAACGTGCATACTACCTGGATGTTCCAAAAGAAATTTCTGATTAGATTTCAATATTAGCCAATCATTTTCATGTTGTTGATTACTGTACTACTGTTCTGTTTACGTTTTGTTACTCATCATTGTCGTTGTAACATCTCATCTATCGTTTCGAAATTCATTTTCATTTCAATGTGATTTGTTTTTTCATTTAGAACAAAGGATGAGTTCTGACGAGATACTCAGTAAAGAGGATGTCAATGATGTATCATCAATACCTTCTACTCCAACAGCAACCCTTGAGTATAGTCGTACAGTATCTCAAGATTTACGTTATCTTGACGAAGCTCTTACTCATGCTATTGATCAATTGACAATATTTAATAGTGAAACAATGTCTGATCTTTCACTTAAATATGAATTAATGCGTAATAATGAAGTAAGAATTGATAGAATTTAAAAAAATGTTCATGAAAATAAATTCTTTATTTTTGTAATCTAGAGTCGTGTTATTAGTTTTTTTGCACGTCAATTAATGGTATTACAAGCACAAAAACAGAACAGTGGATTTCACAGTGAATATGCTAAACTTGATCGATTTCTATCTGTTATTAATTTTAATAAAAAATCTATTGAAGTAAATCAATTTATTATTTATTTCCAGCTAAAATAAATCTTTCTATTTCTTGTTTTTGCAGTATATTACACAACGAATTACATTTGATGATCTATTAAATCATAATGTAACAGAACACGAACAAATTTTATATGATGCTGAAACAACAGAAACTCAACGAACTGATTTTGTTAATGCCCTTAATGCACTTAAAAGTTGCATTGGTAGTTTATTAATCTGAAATAAATATTTACTTAAAAACATTTTTTTTTCGTTTTTGTCACAGATTACTTTTCTACTGGTGGTACAAATGATAAGGGACGTTTTTATTGGCATAAAGAAATACCAACTACAACATCCGTTCGTCCACATCGTTTGTCAGATACAGGTAAATGAGAAAAACAAAATCAACAATAAAACAAAAATGTTTTTCTTTCATCTTAAGCTCTTCCAACTCAACCTATTATAGAAACAGTGAGATCAACATCTGTGTCTTCCTCGATCTCAACTGAATTTGGAACTACAGCGAATAATAATCATAATCATACGACAGTACCATCATCACCACATGCACGACGAAATAATTGTAAACATAAAATTTACTATAGAATAATGTTTTTTTTTACTGTTTACATATTTTAGTGTCTCATACACCACCTCCATCTCGTTTAAATCATCTATCTGTTAATGGTAAAGGCAAATGTGAACATCCTAGTAAGAAAAGTTCCGTTGATCCAACAGTTTTTAATAAGTATGAAATTATAAATATTTTAGTTAAATTCTAATTTGTTTTTATTTTTAATTAAGTAATACTAATACATCTCGAAATATAGATCTACAATTACCTAATGACGATAGTTCTTCTCGTCGAAGCTCATATGGATCAGATTCAGAAAGTCGATTAGCATCTGGTAAGTTAAATACGAATATGTTTAACTTTAATAAGATCGAAAAAAAAACAATGTGCATGAATAGTATTTATATAATAATACAAATGATATTATTTTTATTTCTATAGAATTTGAGCACACTCTTGAGAATGAAATAGTGACTCATTCTGATCAATTGGCTATGCGTAAGCTTGCTATAACATCCTATAAAAATCCATCATATTCTAATACATCTATCAACAAACGACAATATACTATAGACAATAATGTACAACACAATGAGGAAAATAAATCTCCATCATCACCAGCAAAAAAATTTTCATGGAATAAATCTATGTCAAAAGATGGTTAGAATTGCACATACATACATACATAAATATATATTTTGCTCGCTCGGATAAGGTTGATTGATTATTACTGCTATTGCTATTGATTGACTATTGAATGATTTTATGTTCGGAAATTTTTAATTATAATAATATTTATAGGCTCAGCAACACCTAAATCACCTACAATTCGTTCTCCAACTATGTCAGGTTCACCATTTGGTTCAGCACAGAATAGTGATGCTGAAAATGAGACACGAATACCAGGTAAATTTTTGTTGCTAATTGTTTGTGTACTTTTATTTTTTTTTTGTTCGACAGATGCTCCTCTATATAATACATCTTTATCATTTCTTGGACATCGAATGGCACATAAAATTCAACACAAGTTCGTACTCAATAGTTTGTTGTGTTGCTTGTATTTACGCTTATGCTTATGTCTTTATCATAATACTTATGCTCTTCCGATGTTATTGTTCTTCTTCTTCTCCTTCTTCGTATTTCTTATTCGTTTAACTATTCATCTTAATGATGATTGCTATTACTGTGTTGTCTACTTGGGTGTTGTTCAGTTTGGTGGTCATTATATATGTGATTGTAACTAAATGACAGCAACGACAATTTCTTTTTCTCAGGTGGAGTAATTTCATAAAATTATCGACGTGTAATGTATGCTCAAAAAGGATCATCTTTATCGGTAACAAATGCAATGTTTGCAAGTAAGAATTTTACAATTTACGTCTTATATATATATGCGTATATAGGAATAATTTTTTTCTTCTCCGTTCATTTTCAAAATGTCGTTTTCTTTGCTTTATACGCGCTCGCATGCGCTCCTCTGAATGCAGTGATTACAAAAAAAAACTAATCTTTTCAAATGCAAAACGAAACCTTCTTTTTTTTCTATTCGTTTTCTAGGTTTGACAGGACACGTGTATTCAAATTTTCCTTTTGTGACGTCTGTAGGAGACAGGTGTTTCGAGGAAAAGCATGTCTTCATTGCAAGTAAGGCACTAAGGAATGCAGCTTGCAATTAAAATAAAAACGACATAAAAAATATACGATTCTAGCATGATTTTTTTCCTGACTGAATTCAGTTGCTGTGTTTTTTTCTTAATTTGTTTTTTTGAAAACTTCATATTAATATTTTCATTTTTTTTTCTCCATAAGATACAAATGTCACAGAGAATGTGTAATAAATGCTCCACCTAATTGTGGTTTTAGTGAAAATAAACTAAGACGAGCTATTGATAATACTGATATTCAACATGCACTTGGTAAAATATTATATATATATATAGATTGTCTTTTAATATGATTATTATTTTTAGCTAATTCCAGCCCAATGACACGTAAATATCCTTTTCCGCGTAAGTGATGTTTTACATTTCTATGTCAAATCCTTTTTTGCTTAAATAATTTTAGCTTGGGATAATACAAGTCCAACGCCATCAACACCTATATCTGTACCAGGCTCACCAGCTCCACATTCTGGTTATCATTTTAATCCATCTATCTGTATTAGTGAATCAATCTATTCCAGTAAGTTAAAACTAGCAATTATTTAATAGCTTAATTATTAAAACAGGTGTTTACATATATGACAGAAAAAAAAACGCCATAATAAATTTGACTCCTGCTATAGTGTGAAATTGTTATTTTTTCTTTAGCTCAAAATGATCCGGATAGTTGGGTCGTAATAGATACGACTAATAAATCTGTGCCAGGTAGGTAAAACCAAAAAAAATAATTATGTGGTAATGGGAAGCAAAGTTTTTGTTATTATACATGTTGTCCTCATGTTTTGTCCGCAAAAGAATATAAAAAAAAAGTTATGCATGTGACTACTAAGCTTTTTATATAATAAATTATTTATGGCAAAGCTTTACTAACTATTTTTCATATATATTTTTAGAAATTCCGGAATCTCAATCAGACAGTGATACAAAGTAGGTATATATAGGAATATATTTTATTATTTAATGTTTAATATCTAGTTCAACAATTCAAACTGAGACAGGAACAAATTTGATAGATTCTACCACGACAATATCTAGTAAACTTGTACGACAAGCATCACAAGTAATTTGTTTAGAAAAATGAATTCTATGATCTATGGAAAAAATTAATTTTTTTATAATAGAGTGAACCATTAGCACATCCTAAACGTGAAGATCTTGTTAAATCAAAATTATTTGATATTAATTCATTCGATGATGATGAAGCTGATCCAGAGAAACGAAGTGCTAATGTAAATTATATATATATTGAGTTTAACTCTTTTAAAAAACGAATTCTTCTTTTTAGCTTGCTACCTCATTACAAGATTGGGTTATTGTATTTAATAATATAAAAATAATAGAAGAATTACCACGTTCATCTGGTCGATTAATGAAGTAAGAATAAAAAACAAAAATGTTCGTTACTATTTCTTTTTCTTTGTAGAGCGCATTGGCATGGTGAAATAGCTGTACGAATGATAAAGCCAAATTCGAAAACAAGTCAAGTAGATTTTCTTAATCAATTTAAAAATCAAGTAAAAGAAAAAATTAAATAAAAAATAAATCTCTAAATTCTTTTGTTTTCTAGGTATTTCGATTACGAAAAGTTCGTCATGAACACTTAAATTTATATACAGGTGTTTGTAGTATGTATTCCATTTGCTTCATTCTTCTCTCTATATAAAAAAACATTTTTTTTAGTTGAAAGTCCAAATCTTGCAATTGTTTCAAAGTATGATTTTTCTTTTTTTTTTTAATTAAAATAATATCAAATCATTTATTTCTAGTTGGATTCGTGGTCCAAATCTATATGAAATGATTCATCTTCGTAATGATAATATTTCATTAAATGCAGCTGTACAATATGCTGCACAAATAGCTCAAGCCATGAGTTATTTACATGAAAAATCAATAAATCATATGTCATTACGTACAACAAATATATTTGTACAAAATACACGAATTATTTTAACGGATTATGGTTTAGTACCATTAAGTAAATGTTATCAAATAACTGATCAACCAGCGATAATTGCACCACGTGGTTGGCTTAGTTATTTAGCACCAGAAATTATACGTAAACTTGATCCACGTGATGAACAACCTATGTTACAATATACACCTCAAACAGATGTTTATGCATTTGGGTAAAAAAAACGAATCGATTGTAATAAATATAACAATATTTCTATTTTTGTTTTTTGTAGAACTGTTTGGTATGAACTTTTATTTCGAGAATTTCCATATGCTAAACAACCACCAGAATATATTATTTGGAGAGCAGGAAATTCGCTCAAACAACCCTTAAGTAGTGTGCATATCAGTAAATATGCTAAAGTAAGTCATTAACTGATTTTGTTTTTTTTTGATTATTTATGTTTTTCTAGGATATAATTAATCAATGTTGGTCATTTGTACCGGATGATCGACCTGATTTTGATATGTTATGTAAATCATTAAGTAAAATGCCAAATAAACGAACATTAGTACGATCTCCTTCAACTCCTCTTCAATACAATACTCGACCACATATTGAAGCACAATTTTAATAATTAAATCAAATTCTCAATATGTTATACCATAATATTTGCATTCCTTTTTTGTCTACAGGAAATTTCTAGCCGCGTGCAATAAAAGAATTTCTACAAAACAAAAAGATTTCAAATTTGTTTTTTTCGTCTTCTTCTTCTTCCTTTTTATGTATCTATTTTCTTCTTCTTTTCTGTGAGCTGATAAATATTGTTGTCTTCAATCCCCGTTGTGAATAATAAGTGACAGTTTATTTCTCCTTTAGTTATTTCTACGCATGCAGTATTTTTAAGATCAAAAACAAAAATTAAACAAATCTATGAGCCATTATTAAAATAGAACAGTGTTCATATATATATATGTATATCACAGTACAAATTATCCATGAGCCATTCTTCCTTACCCACTGTTTCTTTTCGTCTTTAATAATTGTTATTTATATGAATGTATTCAATGAGTTAAACTCATATACCACTGGATTTCTTTTTTTCTTTCTTTCTTTTTTTTTGTATAAAAATCAAATAATGTTTTGTTTGTTTTTGTGTTTCCGTTTTACCATTTAATTCAATAATATAAGATCAATGTGATCAAATATAATGGTCAAATTTATTTTTAGTATATCAAATGTAAATAGCGGTCGAGATAAAAAATTATTCAGAAAAACCTAACGGAGGATAGATAGATGATCTTGAAGATCTAGTTTGTTCGTTAGTAGTGGTCGTAGTTGATAAATTCGATGGAATTTCATCATCAGCTGGATGCAAAACCCGTTCGAAAAGAAATTCTTTAAATCGTTTTGCATAAAAATCTGCTTCAACTATTGAACGTTCAGCAGTAACATGACGATTTTCAACAGTTTGATATTGTCTGTGCATTACTTTACATATATCAAATCTATATATATACAAAGATGTTATTCATATAGTAAATATAATATAATAAAAATAGACGTACGTTTGTAGTATATCAATAATACCAATAAAAAGAAGTAAACGTTCACCTTTTCCATTTATTGCTGGAATACCTCTAAAATGACAGACAGATAATATTATATTTGTAGGCGTATGATAGTTTAGTACTTACCCGAATTCTTTAGCATATTCTACATCAAATGTTGGGATTTCTTCATATACGAAACCTAATGCTTCATTTGGTTTTTTTAATCGTAAACTTGATTTCGGTTCATTATTCGTTTGATTTTGATTTTCAAGACGTTGTTCTCTCATACCAATAAGAAGTGTATCACGAAGAGAACCCATAAGTGCTTCTAATGATCCAGTCCGTGTTGGTTTATTTTGATTATCCATATTATGTATAACTAATTATTTCGAAAATAAAAATAAAAGTCAGTAAAAATTAAAAACATACTTAATAATAATGAATAATCCATAATATTGAGTCTTTCTAAAAATTCTGCATCACTTGTAAGAATTCGTTTTAAATGATTATAAATTTGTCTTGGTATTTTTAAACCTTGTGGATGTATTTCACGAAAATCATTATCTTTAAATGTTGCTGATGATTTAATTCTTTCATTAAAATTTGCATCACGTTTATAAGATGAACCTTTCAGATCATATTTTTCATGTATATCTAAATTTGTTGGTATTATATTTGAAAATATTGCAAAACGTAATGTAAATGAATCAACAGTAATTCCTCGTTGTTGTGAAATATATGGTATATAACCATAAACACCAAATAATTTCGCAATAAATGTATCTGGTATTTGACTAATATATTGAAAATATTCTTGAAGAAATTTTTGTTGAATAAATTTTGCATCATAATCACGTACAGTTTTTATTAAATATGTTGAATCCGATGTTAAATAAAGTAATGAACCTGAACTAGATGGATTGACTATTTCTTTAAGTTGACCATTGCATATATGTCTTTTTAATAAATTAGGATTAATACCAAAAATACTCATTATAGTACAAAATGTATCAAGTCCATAAGCTTCAAGATCAAAATCAGGTATAGAATGAGATGGAGTTTTACTACCAATAGCCGGAAATTTCTCTCGTTGAATATATACAGTTGAGTTATCAGGATTTCTACATTGTTGATCAAGAAAATAGCCAATACCTATAATAAAAATTGGTCATATTGAGATAGGAAAATAAATAATATATATTTACCAATTTGAAGTGCCTGTCGAATATGTTCACTTTGTACAACACCCGATGAAAATAATGTTTGTAATAATTTTTGTTTTGCAAGTGTACCTGTTGTATCTGTTACTGACATTACATGTTCTTGAACTGTTGATGCGATTGCACCACTTTTCTCCTTGACAAATCCCACTACACGATCAGCTATTTGACGTCGTCCATCGCTATTACTTAATGATTGTGTTGTACTTGATATGCGAGGATCGTCTAAAATATTAGTCAACTTGTCTTTTATTGCACGTCGCATGTTTTGCGTATTATTATTATCAGTATTTGTCATGTAAGTGTTTTTTGATGCTGTAAATATTTATATTCCACCACGTCAATGATTCATGAGATATATAGATATATTTGTTTTAGGGAGAAAAAAAGGCAAAAAGAAAGTGTACACATAGCTGTCGGTATGACTCATATAATGTTCCTTTTATTTAATAATGATTGACATACAGATGTCACGAATAGAGGCATTGTTGAGCCAACGAACAATGTAATGGCCGCAAGAGAAAAAGAATAAATTTGTAAACGCAAGAAAGAGACATTGACAATGAGCAATCAAAATGCTGCTCGATTTTTTGATACATCTGGTTGTTTAAATTTATCTCGACCAACAAGTGGTACACGAATTACATCATCAGCTAAACAATATAAACGACCTTCTACAAGTTCAGGGTTAATACGAGGTCAAATTAAAATTGATTTATATAATTTTGATCATATTGATTTTGCTGATTCAAAATATGTTTTAACAAGTCCTCGTTCACTCGAAGCTTGTGCTCGTCTCAATCTTAAGGTAAAATATGAAATATTTTATTTGAAATTAGCCATTAAATTATTTTTTTTGTTATAAAGCCTGCTACATTACTTCCAAAAAAATTAGCTGATCTTACATCGGACAAAGTACGATTTTCTACCTTAGTTGATGTTCATGATGAAATGGAAATCGATCGATTAGCAAATTTACAACGTTGTCGTGATGAACGTGAAAAAATTATTCGAGAAGAAACATTTCCAAAATCATTATCAACTAAATTAGTCGATTCAAGTAAGAATTATTTGTTTTTTATCGTTTATATCTATAGAACTCGTACAGAAACAAAATTAAATCCATCCAAGTCACATCTTCATGATCATGTTGAATCACGTTTACCACCAAGACCTCCGTCTTCTTCTCGTTTAACTACAACAAATTTAATTTGGAAAACACCTGACGATCGAAACGAATTACGAATATCAGCATCAGCTAATTTCTTAGATGATGTTCGTCGAATGGTAAATCAATAGATTATTTATTAAATAACAATTTAAAAAACTATTATTTAAAGGATAAAAGTCTTCAACGTAAGGGCACATCAGATCCAAATAAAAATGATCAATATGTGTAAGTAAAATTTTACTAAGAAAGAAAATATATTTCCTATATATATATATATAGAAACGGACTTGAAAATGTCAAACAAATACTTGAACAACGTGTAATACGAACAACATCAGATAATGAACTTGATAGTTTAACATTTGAAAAGAAACAACATGAGCTTTTACTTTCACAGTATATATCTATCTGTTTTATTTTTGTCTAATGAAATATTGATGTTTATTTTTATTTTTTGTGTAGCTATGATCATGAATTAAAAATACAAAAAGCAAGAGAAAATGCACGTCGAGCAGAAAAAGAAAAAGAAACTGAACGTTATGATTCATTAATGCATGAATTTGTAGTAAGATAAAAGATTTGAAAACTTTTTCAGTCATTCCGTTCGTTTTATCTGTGTAGGATCAGACGATGGCTGAAGAACGTCGACAAAATGAACTTCGTCGAAAACTTGATAGACTTCATCATTCACGGCATCTTTACGAAGCATTACAAGCAAAAAATCATGAAATGTATGTCTATTAATTTGACTAGAATTTCATATTTTTTTTATTGAATATGAAATAGACAAAATGCAGATACACAAAAACGTCGTGCAGAATTACTCAATGAAATCAAACGAAAAGATCGTCGAACACAACATTTTGTTAAAGATAAACAAGATACTGTTAATTTAGTATGAATAAATCTTTTATTTAAATTAATTATTTTTATTTTTTATAAATAGTGTCGAACAATAGCAAAATCATCTCAAGATACTCGTCAATATATACGAGAAACGAAAGAAAATTTTGATGAAAAAGCTAAGAAAGCTTCATTAACAAGTGCTATTTTGGTAACAAAACCAAAAATACCTGTTGATCGACGTCATTTGCAATCGTCACTTCGAACATAAACTTTTTCTCATTATTTTTATGCATAGAAAACAGTGAATTATTTGTTTTTTCAAGATTAGCTACTTATTGTTATAAAAGTATATATTTCTTTTTTTTTGTATTCTCATGTTTGTAGTACAGTTGTGTGTTTTTTTTCAAATAAAGATGTAGACGTCATATCTTTTCATAGGAGGTTTATAGAGGAAAGTAAGACAAATATTCAATTGTATTTTACAGTAAAAATTATTTTTCGTAAGTTCCCATCATGTTTGTTTTATGGAAACACTTAGTAAATAATTGTCTTGATGATAAAAATCATCATTATTAATTCGTTTTTTATTACTAATTTCTTTCTGTTTTTAAAACTAAGAAAATATTTTATTAAATTTGTTTTCATTAATCAAAGATGTGAGTGTAAGTGAAGGTTTGAGGGTGAGTATGGTTATGAAAGAATGACACACTCATCCATATCCTATTTATGTCATACAATTTCTTATTAATAGACATTATAATCATCTCACATTACATTTTAAAATGAAGTCAAATCTAAATATGATCTAACACTATATTTGCGTTCTTTATTGCTACATAATGAGTATAAAGGAAAAACAATGAAATATTTTCTTTTATTGAAACAATTTTATAACAAAGGAAAATATAGATGAAAGTTTTTTGGACGAACAAATAATTGATCCATATCAAGACATTTTAATTTATCAAAATTAAAATATGTTGGATCATAAGTAAAATTTTTTGTTATTAACATAAGCATACTATAGTCTATGACAAGATTTGATAAACGAGGTAAATTCATATATCTTTTCAAAAGAAATCGTAAAGTATAATTACCATGCGCATATTTAACATTAAGAAATTTAAGATGTGGAAATGTGATTAATGTTAACCACGGTTGATTAACTTCTTTTGACCACGAATTAGAAACATGTAAGATTTCGAGAAAAGGAAAATCTTGAGAGATAATTTGAAATAGTCTATCTTCAAAAGGAGTTCTCTCGACCATTGTTAATTTACGAACTTTGTAAAATGTACCACCTTGAAATGTATTGTCGATTTTAAAATATTCAAAATCATATGGAAGTGAATAGATATAACATACACCATCGAGTGCAAATGGATTTGAATTAATATATGAAACTACTTGTGAATATCCTCTTCCAATGAAACTATGCTGAATTTCTTCATTTGATTGAAGTTCAATTTTAATATCCTTATCATGGATCTCCGATGTAATATTAAATGCAAAATTCTTTAATTGTGTCATAGAAATAAGAAATTGATCGTATAATTGAATTCCATCAATATAATTCGAATAAGATCTATTTACTAATAAATATAATTTTAGTTCTTCAAGATTTATCATTCGACGAAGTAATGGAACAATTAAATCATCATAATGGTTTACAAAACTCAATGCAGTTAACGAAAAATATTTCAATTTTGGAAGTTTTTTCTACAAACAATAGAAAAATAATTGTTTATTGTCAATGCTTTTTTTTGTATAAATATGATTATTACTGTAAATACTTACTGTTGAATTCTTGTATTCTGTCGTATGAAAAGAATATTTTACAGCAATAATTAATGTTGATAAACAAACAAAAGGTCCATCAAGCAAATGGAGACAATCAGTTAAAGCTGCAAGTTTAATTGTTAATTTAACCAAAGTTGAAGGTATGCAATGATTCCACGACAAATCTTTTAGATAAACCACAAAATTTCGTTCTGGAAACATACCGCAAAAATTCAAATCAATTAAATTTTTACACAAAGACAAGATTTTTGGCAAAATTTCTGGACTAGTGTTGAATCCAACGTCGTTTGTGTTTTTGATATCAATATTAAGATGTGTTATTTGATTTGTTAGAAGATCACGTAGAATTAAATTATCTTTAATTAAGAAAAATAACAAAAATATTATTTTAATTCTAATGAATTAAATTAAATCTTATACCTGTTAAATATTGATGAAGTATTTCTTTCTGAAAATTGATAAGTGATAATGAATATAATTTGGAATAATTCGAAGCAAGAAACATGTATTTAGCTGAATATTCGTCGACAGTAAGTCTATATGTTTGATCATAAATTCGAGGTAATATTTTTTCACAAATTCTTGAAAGAACTTTTGAATCTATTGAAGATGTCTGATCGTATAATGAATTGATATCATTAATAGTAGTCATATTAAGATCACGAAAAAAAAAAGAATCAAGTATTAATCGATTAAATCGTCGATTAACCTTAATACATGAATAAAATACATCAATCATATCCAATTTTTGAAGAATAATAAGTAAAATTTCATCAGGTAAATCATATATGTTCATATGATTATCATTTAAATTGTTCATCTTTGACTCAGACAAATTGATCGCAATTCTATATATATGTTCGCATTTTTTCATTTTAGTCTTAATGAATGAATATCGACACCGTCATTGTGCGTATGTTATGGAACGTAACAGACAAGGTCAACTCAATTTGAACTAACCAATAGAGGGTGTGGGTGTGGATATAGATAAAGACAGTAGTAACATTCATACCCATATCCTTAATTCTAGAATATGCGGCATCACAACTTCTTAAACTCTTTCAATTAAATCCGTTTTCAAAAAATGAAACATACACTGCGACTGATCATTTATTCTGCAAATAAAAAATGAACGCTCTTCGATTAAGATCTCATGATGAATAGATCTTATCTAGATTCCCTTTCCTAACATACAACCAAAATCAAAATTATTTTGAATGATGATCATAAGAAGTTTTCTCTCTTAAAAGGGTCAGCGAATCTATTAGATGAGCGCTACTTGTTTGTTAATTGTTCAGATAATTTTGTTTGATTTAATGATGATATTCCTTTATTTATATAAAAATCTCAAAATAAAATATTAGTTGAAATTTGATTTGGTATGTAACATTCCTCATCATTCTGATTAATTTCTTCTTTCATTTTTATAAATTATGTTAGAAATGAATAGAAATAAACAATATATACTATATTCCTTAGAATAGTACTCGTTGTTTCCCTTCCAAGAACGTGTTTATATCCGTAGTCTTTCTTTTCCCTCATCTGTCTCTCTAGATATTTCTTATTTCACATCATTTTGAAATAATTTCCACGTCTCACACCATGTTCGATAACTAAATTTTAATGTTTTTTTCAAATAGTATTGATGTCGTGGTCAAAGTTCGTCTTTTTAAATAATGTCGTCAAAAATATTTACATCGTAAGTTGAATTAATATAAACTTTATTTTATGGAATAAATTTTTATTCATAGATGTTTGAATTCGAAGAATTAAAAGCAAATATTGTAGAAAATAGTTGTGCACCTGGTAAAACTAATCAAGAACAAGCACAACATATTTTTGAACTTGAAATAGTTAGGCGAATTATGAAATATGTCTGTAAGTTGAAGATGAGGGTGTGAGTGTAAGGGTAGGTATGGATGTGTATCTAAGAAAAGGAAACAAATGCCGTCACCCACACCCACCCTCAATATATAATTAAACATAATCAAGATTTCTCAACTCAACTTAATGATATAGTTGATTCTTTAGAAAAATTTATCGATTTATCCGGTACGAATACAACTTTTTCTGATTTTCTCAATTGGAATCAATCAACGATTTTGTTTACTGGAAAGGAAATGATTCTATGTAATCGTCTTTTCAAAGCATATGTTGATAAAACGATCAATGATAATAATCAATCGCCAGAAAACCAGGTGAGTCCTGCTATTTTCTGGATAATTGAACATGTATAAACAATAGATGATCTTTGAAAGTTCTTGTTCTTATGTAAATAAAAAAATCGATATTTTTTTATATATTGCTTGTTTTTTTCTTCTTCTCAAAATATTTAAATCAGACCAATTTTCAATTGAAATGAAAATATGGGTATATATAAGAGAAAAATCATAACGAAAAATAAAACGTACATTTCAAAAATTTGCTTCTGTATTATTTGCTTATAGGATATACCTTCCGAATTATCATTAAAACAACAAATAGGTACAAAACGAGCTCTACTAATTGGAAACAATGCATATAAAAAAGCAAATCAACTTGAAAATTCTATTAAGAATGTTAACGATCTTGACAAGAAACTTCGTTCAATTAATTTTGAAGTTACAATAGGTACTGATTTAACTAATGATGAAATGGATGAAATAATACTTACATTTGTTGATCAAATAAAAGAAAATGATATTGTTATTTTCTTTTTTGTTGGTCATGAAGTTGAAATCAATAATCAATATTTTTTAATACCTACTAATGATCAACGAATTACAAATAATCGATTGTATAACAAAAGAGCGGTAGATACTGAAGGAACATTAGAATTAATTATGGAACAAAAACCATTAGTGGGTATATTTTTATTCGATTGTTCATTTAGTTATTTACAAGATAATAAAATCATATCAAAAACAAACAGTCTTAATCTACGATTATCACCAAATTCAATTGTTGTATATAGTCGTGGTACGTGCAAAACGACAGAAAACAACAATACATTTACGGATCAACTCCTCAAATATATTACCGAACCTAATATGGCCATTACTAAAATGTTGACTACTGTATGTGATGAAACAAATCAAGCGAATAAAAATCAAATTTCTTGTCAAATGGGTTATCTTCGTAATACGGATATATATTTAAATTTTCAAGCAGAAGAAAGTAAGTGCCTATGAGTTTTCGTTTTTACCAAACTAGAAAAAGTGTTAAAGATAAAATAAATTGTATTATTTCAGTTCCATTATCTCGACCACAACATCAGAATGGTGCATTAGAACAATTAATCATCAATCAAAAAGGTGATTTAAAGTTGACATTAAGTCTTCAAGAAGTAAACGATGAAAATATAGATATAATTGTGCCAACATTAAATTCAAGACGATGATCTTATATAATAAATTTATCACGTTTTAATTCGAGAATAAATGAACTAACTAATTTAGAATCTAAACATAGAAGATCAGCTAAATCTTGTTGTTCTATTCGTTCATAATGATAAATACATTCAATAACAAGAGATTTTAGAACTTCATAAAATGTACGCAGTATAAAACGAATTAATGCGTCAAGTATTGCTCGTGGATCGTTTGTATCATTGATTGGAAGAGATATATCATTGGATGAAGACGTTGTGACATTTGTTGGTTGAGGCACAGAAGAATTCATATTTAAAAATAAACCACCACCAGAGGCAATCAACGACATGCCGTTTTCGATTATGTTTAGATCGACAAAGACTACAATCAATAAAAGAAAATGCAGGAGAATTCAGTCTGAAAACAGCACAAATGAATTTATACAATGTTGTAGCGGCTTTCTTTGATTGATAAAACATATCAAGATCTAATACCAATGATGATAATACTCCACTAACAGTCAATGTCTTCTAGGGTTAACAATCAGTTTATATTTGAATATATATATGTGTGTTTATATCTTTTGGTAGGGCGTAATAAGCAGCTTTAGTCAATAATGTGTAGAGCACCGTATGTGTTTTGTCGTCACATATTTTACATGGAATGAATGAAAGGAAAAGCGAAATGTGTAAAGACTATGTGGATGTCGTCCAGGGGCGAGCCACCACGAGGCAGTTGATGGCAATTGCCACACCCAAAAACAATTAAACATAATATTTATTTATTTATATAGTCATATCAAACTCTAAAAAACTAGTAAAATTATCTAAGAAGTTTTGGCATTGGTTAAATCATCTATTCCAGTGACATCTAGTAGCGAATAACAAAAATTTATTTAAGGAATAGTATTGGACAAGATAGATTGTCAGGCATCATTGCCCTTTTGAATATGAAAAAAGATTTTGGGATTAATATTGACAAAATAATAACAGATTTTGTTGCAAAAAAAGATGGAAGAAAAATAATTTTTTAAAATAAATATTTTTCTAACTAATATGTTTTTTATTTACTTCACGCCAAAAGAAAAAAAAATCGAACAAATAAATTATATTAGAAGAAAGACAGCTTCATTCGTCGCATGAATGTCGGTAGTAGTTACATAGTATTTTCAGAACTTTAAAAACACTTTCTTTTTATCATAGTAAGGCATTATTGCTACACCTATCGCTAAGCCGCTGGCCTGCCTATGAACTTATTACAACTTACCAAGAGATTTTCAGTGAAATTTTAGATATGTCATCAACTATTACTTATCCCTCCGTACGTCGTGATTCAACTGTATTGGATACATATACTGATAAATCTTCATCTACTATAACTATTAATGATGCATATCGTTGGCTTGAAGATCCTGATTCGAAAGAAACAATTGAATTTGTTTCGCAACAAAATGTAATAAGTGAAGATTATTTAAATAGAATTCCTTATCGCACAAAATTTTTTGAACATCTTAAAGAATTATTTAATATTCCAAAATTTTCTTGTCCATCAAAACAACCTAATGGAAAATATTATTATTTTATGAATACAGGTCTTCAAAATCAAGATATCTTTTATGAATTAGATTCATTAAAAAAATCAACTGATGAAAGTCAAATTTTGCTTGATCCAAATACATTTTCTAAAGATGGTACAGTTTCAATTCAATCATTAAATTTTTCCTATGATGGAAAAACCTTATGTTATAGTGTATCTGATGCTGGTTCAGATTGGTCAACCATATATTTTATGGATGTTGCATCACGAAAAAAATTAGATGATGTTATAATTCGAACAAGATCTTCGTCATTACGTTGGACAACAGACAATCGTGGTATTTTTTATGCAACATATGCAGGCGCACTTGATAATATAACGTCAGATAATGATTCATCTACTTCGACAAATAATAGAGAAAAGAATGTTGAAACAGGTATTGAAGTTACTCGTACAGGCGCTCAAGAAATTTATTTTCATCGAATTGGTACACCTCGGTCATCAGATATATGTATTGCACGATGTGTAGATGATCTTAATGAACATTCCTTTTCAGTTGAAACATCTGATGATGGACAATATTTAATTGCTAATATACATAAAGGTACATTATGGGAAAGTAAAATTTGGATATTACCATTATTGAATTTATCTGATTCAATTGTTGAACAGCCAAATTGGTTGAAATTAATTGATAATATGGATTTTGTTTATGATTTTGTTACATCACAAGGTGATTTACTTTATTTTCGAACAAATGCACAAGCTCAAAATTTTCGTCTTATTTCAATAAATCTAAAAACAAAAGAAATTAAAGAAATTATTAGTGAAGATAAAGATAATATATTAGAAGATGTAACACGTGTTTATGAAAAATATTTTGTTGTTCGATATTTATCACATGTTAAATCAATTTTATATTTATATGATATGGAAAGTGGAAAACAATTACGAAAATTTGATTTACCAATTGGAACTATTTCTGTTTGGGGTGATCAACATGAATCAGAAATATTTATTCGTCTCGAATCATTTCTCTCTCCAACAACAATTTATATGCGCAATCTAGCTGACTCACTTGATGCTCCGTTAACACTTTTTAAACAAATTGAATTTCAAGGCATTGATCTGACTGAATTAATAACTGAACAAGTTTTTGTCGATTCAAATGGATTAGACTCATCAAACCCAGTAAAAGTTCCAATGTTTTTAGTTCATCGAAAAAACTTAGAAAAAAATGGTGAAAATCCAACACGTATCTATGTTTATGGTGGTTTTTCCATTTCAATGAAACCATTTTTTTCTATTGGTGCACTTCTATGGATATATCATTTTCATGGAATCTTTGCTGTAGCTAATGTTAGAGGTGGTGGTGAATATGGTGAAGTATGGCATAAAGATGGTTATAAATCTAAAAAACTCAATACTTTTTATGATTTAAATGCTTGTACTGAATGGCTTATTTCAGAAAAATATACTCAACGAAATAAAGTTTCCATAGGAGGTGGAAGCAATGGTGGATTAACTGTAGCAGCTTGTGCTAATATGCGACCAGATTTATTTGCTAATGTTATTATTGAAGCTGGTGTACTTGATTTATATCGATATCATAAATTTACTATTGGATATTATTGGTGTGGCGAATATGGTAATCCTGATATATCTGAAGAATTTGAATGGGTTAAATCAATATCACCATTACATAATATTCCAAAAGATCCAAAAACATATCCGGCAATTCTTATACTAACAGGTGATCATGATGATCGTGTTGTGCCAGCACATTCTTTAAAATATGCAGCACAATTACAATATCAATTAGGAGAAACAATGAATCGTTTAGGTCGTCCATTACTCGTTCGAATTGATGTTCGAGCTGGACATGGTGCGGGCAAACCAACAATTAAACGAATTGAAGAAGTAGCCGATATATATTCATTTATTTCTTACTCATTGGGTGCTCAATGGCATGATTAATTGAATGGAAGAGACATTTTTTTAAATTCTTAATTTTTTTGTGATCTCATTATTTCACTGGAAACAAAATTAAAATCATCTTTCCACTAAAAGTGTTCAATCCCATTTTAGAAGAAAACTAATTTAAGTCAAAATATGTAGTATTAAGTTGTCCTCTGAAAAAGGAAAGAATTTTGATGACTTTCTTTGATGAATATAGGATACAAAATGTTAAAGAATGATAAATATTCATTACGATCTTCTGGTGCATCAAGTTTAGCAAAAAATTGATTTTTTTATAATTGAAGTTCAATAAGACGTTCTAATATATCACGACTAGAAATACAAAATCTTCACTTTCGATATAGAATTTTCAATTAACAAATATTTCGAAAAATCAAATAAGACTAAAACAATAGAGGTTATGATCTCACGATGGAACTCCCTATTCTTTTCTTCTGATTACTATAATTTTATGCTATCTGGACAAAAAAAAGAACGATAAATGTCATTATAATTTTAACAAAAAGTTTTTATAATAATAAAAAAAGAAAAGAATCTTTTAGTACTTGTCCATCATTGAATCGTAATGTTCCTTCATCAAGTTGTAAATAGATGCTACGAAATGAAATACCTTAACTATGAGCTCGATTAGTTTTGCATAATCTTGAAAGATATAAAAACAAAAGAAAAATGAAATATTTTCAAAACCTATTTTATTACCCAAGCCAAAGTATTTGATCAGTAGCTAATGCTTGTCAAACACATGCAGCAAGACATAAATCAGTCGTATCTATTTTTTAAGAATTGTCAGAACTAATTCATGTGATAATTGAGATATATCGGACATTTTTGTGACAAAAATTATAATGAAATGAAAAAGAAATAGATGTTTTTTTAATATTTATTTGAAAACAAAAATATTAAGATCAAAGTGCTAAAAAAAAAGAATGAATTCTATGTTTTTCGAAGGTATAAACTCAAGTGATTGTAATTCATATTTCATAATTTTTTATTTCGACAAAATCATATTGTCAAGATATCTCCTTTCTACTAGTGAAAATGTAAAATAAATAGGTTGCACATGAATATATATATGAAAATAGAAGAATAAATAAATCGAGAGTAAATGCATTTTAAGGAATTTTAGTCATATTAGTGTTTAAGCAAAACCCAGAAGAAATGTGAAGATCCAAGACATAAATCCTTATATTTGATTTATAAATTAAACACGTGGTTGATCATTAGCCGATGGTGTTACTTTAGGTTTTTCCCACCCATAAAGAAATGTTGCAGTTAAAACACACATTGTTCCAATATAGAAAAATGACGTCGGTGTAAAATCATGTAAAACAAAGAAGGAAATAACGGATGAAAAAAGAATCGAAAGAGAAGTACCAAAACCTTTGATAATGTTATCAGCATATTTGATAACTATAGCAATTATTAAACCTCCAATTGCTTGAAGAAAGATAACAATCCATACTATCGTTATATAACTTTGAAAAAAGCCTTTATCCATAATGGCTTTATAATCAAAACAGAATACAATCAATAAACCAAAAATTGTTCCAAAAATAGCTAATTGAATATTTCTAACTCAAACAGATGTTGGTTCAGTTTTAAGTATTTTTTCAAAATAGACACCAGTAAAACCGGATATCACTGCAGATACGAATACTGCACAAAAACCCATCATTTGTTGCAACCATGTTGCTTGATTTTGTGCTGTTAAACGTTTATTTGATTCATCTGATGTTGACCATGTAACAAGTGCAACACCAATAGCAAGCATAAATAAAGAAAACCATTGACGTTTTTCTATTTTTTTGTTCAGAATAAATACACTAAATAGAGCTGTTGTTAAAATTTTCGATTGATAAGTTACTTGATATGTTGCTGTATTTAAATAAGATAATACTATAAATAAAATATTATTTTGAATAGCATATAATCCACTTAGTCGAGCTAATCTCATAGTATCATGAGGTTTATTATAAATTTCTTCATCAATTACTAGTATAACTCGATTAATTGAACGATCGTTTTCTAACCAGACAAGAAAAATACAGACAATTCCTTTAAGAAATTCTGCAGTCACAACAGCTGTTGATGATAAATATATTTCAGAGTCCACTGTTCTTGAATAACGTAGTAGAAGAACAAGACTAGTAGTTTGACAAACAAGTGCCACCAAACTAATCCACCAACGATTGTCTTTTTTTGTCATCTTTGAATAAATAAATGAAAACATATATTTACGTCTGCAAAGTTTTGATCGTCTAAGAAATTTAGATATTTTCGATCTTTTTTCATATATAAAAAAAATAAAATAAATCCTATATCTTGCTTTCTATGATCATAAAAACTCTCATTTTCAAGAGTATTTACGACCTTCCTCCGTACGAATAAAAAACTTTTTTGTTTTTCTCCATCACATAAAAAAAATGATATTCGAAATTTGATATAATAAGTAGAACTGTGCAATAGTAAAAAATGTTGTATTAGTAAATATATAGTGAAGTAGATAATCATTCTTTATTAGATAACACAGCTTTGATATTTGTTGGACAAAGGTTATATTTGGAATGTTTTGTTTTAAGTGTTAAATTAATCAAGTTTTTGTGATAATAGTAGTACAATACCAAACAATTTTATTATTTATTTTTTCTACTTACCTCTTCTCCCGTGTAATTTTTTATTTTTAAATCTCTTGATAATCGATGATGCACGATATCTATTTTGTCTCTCTAAATATTTTATTAACAAAACACAAAAGAAAGTAAAATGTGTAAAGACATAGTAGATGTCGTGCATTGCATACTATCGAAATAAATTGCTTATTACAAACTTACCAAGAGGTAAAAATCTTAATCTGATTAAATACACGTTGCGATGACGAAAAACGTGTGGATTAGTGGTAACACTAGTCTGCCAGAGCAACTATTTTTTTATAAAAATAGTAAAAGAAATTCATATAGTACATTATCATTTGACAAGTATTTCTGGGCGATTATTAAAACTAATATGTAACATGTACCTACTTTGCTAATCTTTCATCCTATAAATATATTCTATTTTTCTTTTAATCATTCGGATTATGTCCAATAAAATCAAATTATGACTACAATAATCAGTTTTTTGAAAATATTTCTCTTAGATTTCGTTTTAATTGATAATATTAGATGATGTGAGTATAAGAGAATATCAACTTCAGTAATTGTTCCAATTTACCAGAGAATCAGTTTCTATTGAGTTTACCATCAATGAGTTGATATAGATGAAACAGTTTCTATACCTTAGAATTATTACAATATATCATAAACTTTAAAACTATCACGGATATGAATCCATACATATAACCTTTGATTATAGAATTTTCTCATAGTTTCTTTTTATAAAAGAAATAACTGGTTAGACTTGAACAAAGGCAATGAAATTGAATTTAAGTTATATTTTTGAAAATGATACAACGTCTATAGAGTAAATGTTTAACGAACCATCTTAAAGTATACACTTTGGAAAAGTGATCAATTTTTCTGATTATTCAGAAATAATAAGATGGCTTTGCCCAGATTATTTTTAAAGAGAAAGAATTCTCGAATATGCGATATCACAACTCCTTAAACTCTTTGAATTAAATCAGTTTTCAAAAAATGAAACATACACTGCGACTGATTATTTACTCTGCAAATAAAAAATCAACCATCTTCGATTAAGATTTCGTGATGAGTAGATCTTGTCTAGAGTCCCTTTCTTAACATACAACCAAAATCAAAATTATTTTTAATGATACACATAGGAAGCTTTCTGTCTTAAAAGGGTCAGCGAATCTATTAGATGAGCGCTACTTGTTTGCTAATTGTTCGGATGATTTTGTTTGATTTAATGATGATATTCCTTTATTTATATAAAAATCTCAATATGAAATAGTAGTTGAAATTTGATTTGGTATGTAACATTCCTCATCATTCTGATTAATTTCTTCTTTCATTTTTATAAATTATGTTAGAAATGAATAGAAATAAATAATATGTACTATATTTCGTAGAATAGTATTCGTTGTTTCTTTTCCAAGAACGTGTTTATATCCGTAGTCTTTCTTTTCCCTCCTCTTTCTCTCTAGATATCTCTTATTTTGCATCCTTTTTAATTAATTTCTACGTCCCACACCACGTTCAATAACTAAATTTTAATGTTTTTTTCAAATAATATTGATGTCGTGGTCAAAATCCGTCATCTTAAACAATCTCATCAAATATATTTACATCGTAAGTTGAATTATCATAAACTTTATTTCATGGAATAAATTTTTATTCATAGATGTTTGAATTAGAAGAATTAAAAGCAAATATTGTAGAAAATAGTCGTGCACCTGATAAAACTCATCAAGAACAAGCACAACATATTTTTGAACTTGAAATAGTTGAGCGAATTATTTTATGAAATATGTCCATAAGTGGAAGATGTGGGTGTGAGTGTAAGGGTAGGTATGGATGTGTATCTGAGAAAAGTAAACAAATGCCTTCACCCACACCCACCCACCCTCAAGATGGTAGCTATCTCGAATCTGTAAGACAATCGATTTTTATAGTAAGTTTAATTATTATGAATCAAATTTAATTTAATAAATTTCTATTTGTAGAAGTCTGACTTAATGGAGCTAAAAGTTAGGGCGGAAAAAAATAGTCCTGCTGTTGATAAACCCGAATCAGAAAGAGAAAAACACATACTAGAAATCGAAGTATTGGAAAGATTTATGAAATACTTGCGTAAGTTTAAAATCATTAAATATTTTTAATTTATTTTATTTATCTATTGTAGGTAGTTATTACAACGAGCAAATGGATATATCAGTCAAAGCAGTTGAATCTGCTGGAGCAACTGCATCAAAAGTTATGGAATACTGCATATATTTTATTTTCTTTCTCTTCTTTCTTTTCTATAGGCATCTTATGATCTTTATTTCGTTGTGTAGCCACGCTATGATAAATCACAAACCAAGAGTAACTGGTTTCTCTTATGTTAGATCCGAAATGTACAACATTAACCTCGACTACTCTCAAAAATATGATCAAATATGCAGCCTATGACTGAATTAGTTTTGCATATCTTCGATTGCCGATGGTACAGCGTTGGTCGCTAGTACATCTACGATCATGACCAATTTGGAAAGAAAGAGTTATCGTCAGCATTACACAAGGTGAAGCAGATGGGTGTACAAGCAAAATAACAAAAGAGCCTTTGGGTCCATGCTTATTCTTTCTTGTTCGATCTTTATTGTACCATCATGATTACAACACGTACGATGATAGTGGTAAGCCTCAATTAATAATTCTTTCAGAATTCTTGATGATGATTTTTCAGAACAATTATTTCAGACGTAGTATTCCGTGAAATCTGCGGAATACCACGGAATCGACCGTTTCCGTGCGAGATTATTCGACCTGGATTGTACAAAAATCGTCTAACAATGGTCGTTAGTACCTGAACTTGGTGATTTAGGATCTGGCATCAGTAATTGTGTTTTGTTTTTGGGCGGAGGAGCTGTGAAAGAAGCTTATCGAATCAAGCAAGCATTTTCTCTCTTAGCAAAACATAATAAAAAAAGCGCCAAAGATATTTTTTTGATAATCCTGATGTTGATCATGTATTTCACGAGTTACTGAACAATGTAATTATATTTTCTTCAGTATGGAAAATGCTGGAAGACGATGAAGAGGATCGTGGTTTGTTTCTGGATATTTTGTATAATAAATATGTGAATTATTTTTATTTATTTTAGAAATTAATGCTGGTGATAAACTTGATTATGGATATTTGGAATTTCAATACACATCCTAGGTCGATGTTGTCTGATGCAGTATTCCATAAAATCTTCGAAATACCACGGAACCGGCCGTTTTCGTGCCAGATTGTTCGACCTGGGTAGAAAACAGATTGTGAAATTGAATCAACTTTCTCATGATTATACTACTGGATTTTGACTTTTATTTTCCATTGTTATTTTCATTTATCTTGTAAAAATAAAAACAAACAGGTTTTTGTTTTTCTTCAAATAAATTAAGATATATATTTATTCTACTGGATTAAATATTAAATATCGTCGACAATGGTGATCCATCAAAATTTTCTGTGATTTTATAGCAGAATTCATATTGAAATTGAAAATAAATATCTACGAAAATATTATTATAGCCTTTTGTACTGATTTGGAGATAATCAGTAAAATAATCATTTTTTATTTATTTATTATCTATTGTTTATCGTTGAATGTATACGATCAATACTTACGCATAGGGTGCACTTTTATACTTTGATAATATCATCAGGCATTTAATATGTGTGTCAATTCTCGTTAATCAAGCCTATACAAGCTGGTCTGAAATTATACGTCTTTTTTATATTTCGTTTTGTGAAAAAGCTTTTGAACTAGAAAACTTAACAATATAAGATGGAAATGATTTTGTTATTTTCTTTTTACTGTAATGGATGTTCACTTTTTTTAATATTTTGAAATAACAATATTTATTTATATGGATTCAACTTTTGATAAGAATAAATCTTTCCAGAATTTTTACTTTATTTCAAATAAAGTTTTAGATTGAAATTATTAGTGAATATAACTTAGAAAAAATATTAATGCTTATCTTAAATTACTGTACTATTATGACAATTAACTCTCATACAGGTTTATTATAAGTAATAAAAATAGAGGAGAAAAAGACTAGAAACAAATATTATAATAATCAATTCAAAAGACAAAAAAAGCTTTTAAGCGTATAGAATATATTAAGTTTTTTATATAACATAGTATGTAATTTGAGTGTGTGTGTGTGTGAAGAGAAGAGTTTCACTGTCACACTGACATGCACACCCACACCCACACCCTAGTCGTAAAAAAAGGTTTTATGCTCGTTATGGACGTTGTTAGTCTTTTTCTCATTGGTTGGACAGTGGAAGAAAATGGTTGTGGGCGGCCTATGAATGAGAAATTAAAAATCGAACCGATATACGATTAAATATTTCTTACTCAGTTCTGCACATTAGTATATGATTGGTTTTATATTGTTACGTTCCGTTCGTTTTTATGACAACCAAGAGTAGGGATCTTAAAATTCATTGAGTACAAAATACTTTATAAAAAGAAGAAAATACAATCTAGATTTTATCTTTGAAAAGTTTTGATTTAAACTCTTTGAACTACTTGATTCAGTATGTACTTTTTTCTTCTATCAAATTGGACAAATTGACATCAGAGATATTGATTAAAATGGCCATGAGATGCTTTTACAATGTTCTTATCTTATATTATTTGTTTATTTTATAGTCAAAAAATAATGGAGGGTATGTACGTTAGTAAAGGCGTTTTCTTTTCTAAAAATCAACTTTAATAAATGAAACTTAACTCTTTCCAATACCTGAATATAGAGGCATGAGAAGGCAACAATTTTCTCCTATTTTGACAATATTTTCTATGGAAGATGTTTATTACTTTGAGTTATGAGACGATGATATTTCACATAAAATAAAATCTGTTTATGTTTATAATTAAAACAAAACTCAAATAGTACGAAAAATCTCAAATTTAAAACTATAAAAAGATTCACACAGAAACATTTTTTTGACATTATTTCATTGTAGTTCAAATAAACTAAAAGATGTCTCCAATCATTCTCAATCCTGAAAAGATGAGTATAGAAAATTAAAATTAAAATGTTTGTCTTGTTAAGAAGATATCTACATCCACAACCTCACACCCTCAAGAAACAGACTAAAATTACATGAATCGATAGACAAATCAATGCTTTATCATGTCATATAGAAACAAAAAACCTATTGAAGTTTTATCGAAATACAATAAAATCCTTGTTTGTCTCACATCAGTATTTATTCACTGAACGATAAGATAAGACATCAAACATCTTATCAATTTGAAAATTGTAGATACTTTAGGGTAGCTAATTAAACATGAATTTATATTGACCGCAAAAGAGAAAACATTTTTCAAACAATTATGTGTGAACAACGATATTTGTTTAGTGTGAAAAATTTATCGTATTAGAATTTTCACTTTCTCTCATACGAAACTAATTGACCTTTGACACTTTAAATATTTTTTTTCTATCCAATAATAAAGCAAAGAGGAAATGCAAACACAAACATATCTTTATTTTTTCTCTCTATTCTCTTGCCTATAAATATAGCCTTTTTTTTGCTTATTTTTCATCAGAACAAATTCATTCATTCTTTACACATTACAAGCAACAAGATGCATACCTTCATGGCAATCGTCTGTTTTGGTCTCCTCATATGGATGGCTTTTGGTGCGAAAACATCAACTTTGATCGATCAAGCAACTAAGTGTGAGTCAGCGTTTTTGTTTTGTTTTCACACAAATTTATAGAATGATAACGTAAAAGAAATTCTATTAAGTTTGAGAATACCTACTGTGATATAAAAAGATCAGATCGAATAAATTTTACGATATAAGTAGTTCTAAAAGATTTCAACTATAGAATCTTAGTGCGCTAATATTTTCAAAATGGTTTACTTGACATTTAAAACACAAAAACCAATACGATTGTGTATCTCATTGAAGTTGTTATACAATGAATTTAGATATCAATATGTCAGGCTTTCTCTTCTAGCGATTAGAAAAACGGAGGATATGATTGAGTCAATACTACAAAAGTGCTTTACTTTCTATTGTGTATTGTGCATTTTCATGACTTTTCACTTGAAAATATGTGCAGAACAGACTTTGATTGTTCGATATAAGAAGTAATTTGAGACCGATAGAGTGATTACTTTGTTGTCCTTTTATCGAGAACGAATTCATATGTAAAGAAACAATTTTTGAAAATATGTTATGTCTTTTGTATCTATTCTTATTCAGATTTAGAACGAAAGGACGACTATTTGTCTTCACCATTTTTCTCTACCCTGAACTCTATAATGATAAGATTAAACAGTACTGAAGAACTAGGAAAATGTTCGGACAACAGATTGCAACGTTAGTGACGACCGATGTTCTGTGTCGTTTTAATAAACTTTACGTTTTGATCAAGTAATGGTAGTAGAGATAATTAAAAAATAATGTTTCTTATTTTTTTTAGTGGAGCATGAAAATGCAGACAAGATCGAAGATGAAATGGATCATTTAATGGATGATATCGTAAGATTGAGAGAAATGAATTTAACAGACGCACATACGGATTTTATTATTCGTACTATGCAATCTTGTGAAGCTGATGTACTTTACTTCGCCTTGGGTGATAACAAATTGACGTATGTTGGTGTCAAAAAACTAGTTGAAGCAATCAAAAAGGGCAAGCAAGGTGTACGCGGACTTAATCTTAATGGAAATCCGGTTGGTGATGTCGGAGTACAATATATATTGAAATTATTCGATAATAATATTTTCGAATACCTCTCTATAGAGGATATAGGCTTAACAGATAATGGTGTAAAAGAACTTGTTGATGGTATTCTTCAATCAAAACCGTCGTCGCCGGTGAAGATGTTATTTATTGGAAATAACAAGAGAATCACAGATCATAGTGTGAAGCAACTTCTTCGATTAGTTGGATTAAACCAACTTGTTAAGATTGATATTGTTGGTTGTTCTCTTTCAGATGAAGCAAAGAAGCAACTTGAACAAGAATCACCAATATTTTTTGTATAGCTCTAGTATTGATGATGAAAAGTGTTGTTAGTTGTTTCTTTTTTTGGATTAGAATAAATAAAATATAGATGAAAACTGATTGGATGTGAATCAACTAGAAGGGTGTGTGAGTTATAAAAGGTCGTGATCTAATCATACGAGCTTTGAAGGAATTTCTCACAATATGAGTTGCTGAAGGATTTGCTTTCTATAAATCGAAGCTTATCAAAAAATGATACTGTCAGAAGAACATTTATTTAGTGTGATCACAAGAGTCACATATAATTCATTGACTTTGCATTATATGAAAATGAGGATCTTGTGTTTAAGGTAAACTAAGATCAGTATATTTTACTATTAAGCAAAAAGAAATTATTTTCAATGATCTGTTTATAGTATTAAAGCTCTTCATTGATGATTGGTGTTCATGTAGACCATATCAGTGAAGAAATAATAAGAAATGAATGGATATAGAAGAATATCGTTCAGTATCTGTTCTTGTTCGTACAAAATATGTTCAAACTCTGTAATTTATCGGATGAAAATACACTTAACTATTTTCAATAAAGTGAGATCTAAAGTCTTATTATTTTGTTTTATTATTTGCATTAAAATTAATTGTTCAGAATAACATGCATTAGAAAAATGTAATTCAGTTTATTTAATTTTTGATCATTATGAATCATCAAAGAAACTATTTATTCAACAATTTTAGAGAAGGTGTGCGGATGGGTCTAGACCTTATTCGAATGCACACACACACACACACACACCTCCACTGAGATAAAAAACGATATGAAGATTATTTCAATGAATACATTTTTCTTGTTTGATAACGAAGATATATGATGTACGATCATGCACAATAAAAAACTTGCTAATCAATTTTTAAATGATAATGTATATGCAAATTATGGAATACCATCTTGGGTGTGGATGTGCTACCTATTCCGCATTCACACCCTATTTTCTACTGATCAAATTTATTTTTTCTACTTATATAAAGCATATTTTGTTACTGCTACTTACACAAAATAAACTGACCATTTCAAAAATATCTACTGCTATTTTCAATACTGACCAATCAACATATATACTGACCAGTTAATATATTCCCGAAGTTATATTTCATATTTTACTAAAACTAGGATAATTTTAGCTTACGATTTATTACAGATTATAGAATTGGGAAAAAAATCCAGACATATTTTTCTTACATTTACTCTCTTTTCTATACGTCAAAAACAAAGATATACAGCAATGTTACCCCATCAACATAACAAAAAAAAAGAATAACAACATATCAGTATATTGACCGTATATGACCTTTTTTCGTCGGATTTGTTCGAATCATATAAACGAGAAACAACTACAACAACACTGGAATATCAGACGAAATAATTTTGAAATAATCTGTACGTATTTTCTTAGTTTAAATTTCATATCGTCATCTACGAAATAGTAGCCTCGTTCCTATTTGAAATCCGTACGAACCTAGGCTAAAAAACTAGTAATAATGTACAAAGTTATAATAAGTTTAACAAACGTGTGGAAGTATATAGTAGACTTTGTTACAAGAAGAACGAACAGGAAAGTAAAGGGTGTGGGTGTGAGTGTGGGTGGATGTTGGTGTGGATATGAGTATATAGTACATAATATCAGCACTACACCCACACCCTCAAATTTTTATGTTTGAATCTTTCTATAGCTTAATCCGTTTATATCCATTATATGGCTCATTCTATTTCAACTGTATGGGATTTAACTGAAGAATATCATACTGACAATTTAGGCTTGAAACAAAGAAGAAAATCAACTACTATTTTATCTTTCTATGCTCACTTATTCCGTCATAGTTACTATATCATTTATAACTCTATGGAAAAAAAAATATCATTAGAACAGTCCTACATAGAGATGCTTACGGATGACAGCGATTAACTGTACGAAAGTGCACATGATACTTTAAAAATTGTGCATTCATGGTGAAATTTATCCATTGAATTTAATTGAAAAACAATATTTTCATTATAAAATTGAGAGTGTGGGTGTAGAAGCCTATTTCACACACATACAGCCACAACTACACTCAAGACTCAATCTAAATGAATTTTAAAATTAATTATTTGCTCTGAAAAAAATTAGTCGACTGAAAATCTTTCTTTGATGAAATTTATAAAAAAATATGAAGAATGATATAATGAGAAGAATTTTATGCATATTCAATAAAATGAAACATATTCATATTACATTTCATTATAAAGATGAAAAAACTTTGATTAAATAAAGGATGATGTCAGAGTATATTTCGCAAAAATTGCGATATTAATCGTCGTTATCCGAATGAGTTGGCGGCTTTGGATGAGAATATTCTCGGCCATGCTGAGGATCTTTAATATCCCAACATTTTGAACCCCATTTACAGGGTATTTGTAAATCACGATGACGTTCATGTTTGGTTGGTGGCGGAGGCGTGCTTGATCTTCCTACAAAAGAATAAATACTGTTTTATAATGAATCTTCTCAAATAAATTTCTCTGACTTTTTTCTGCTAATTCTCTACATTTGTAGACTTGTTCGCCATGTGAGTACTCAATTCGATGTTCGTCTGAATCGTTGTGACACTTAGCTTGATAACGACATGGTATTAGAAAATCAGGTAACTCCGTATGACGGTATTCGGCACGATGAAATGGATCAACTATTTTCTTACATTTTTTATCATATTTACACATGGATACACGATGAGATTCATGTGTAAAATGAGGCTCTTTCGTACGGCAAAGTTCAGAGAAACGACATGGATGTGAATAATTTGCATTGTGAGTTGATCCGTGACGTAATGAATGTTGAAGCAGACAATTAACGTTATCGTGACAAGGAATTAAGTTCGATGTACTGTCACCAAATAAAAAGTGTCCTACTCTTTTTATGATTCCTGGAGAATCTTTTTCATGCTTTTTGCCCGCTTTGGGTAGCGAAATATCATGATCATCACCTTTTTTATGAAATGCAGAAAAATTTACCGCTTCCGACGATGAAATTTTACTGAAATTTTTGTCAAATGTTGGATGTAAACTAGCTGATTTGTCAAAGCAAACAATCAAATTTCGAACTGGAACTGTACGAGAACCGCAACTAATATGAATGTAATTCAATTTCTTCAAATTGAGTCGATTTTTATCGAATGTATAGAAGATCTTTTCATGATTATAAATCGAATTTGGCCCGGCATGCGAAAATATTACCGTACCAGTTGAAAGTTGAATTTCAAGACAAAACGTCATTAAATCATCCGTATTACAGCCGTTAAAAAATCGATTTGATTTAGCTGCAAATTTGACTGTTTCTCTTAAAATGGGATGTTGAAATGGTGCACTATCATTTACATACGAATAATGCTCATGATAGGACGTATCGCTTGATGGACCTTTCCCTGCAATATAACAAGTCAAGCATTGAAGTTTTGCCTGTTTTCCTTCCGGCTGAATTGGCTCATTGGATAACGTTAACATCATATCTCCACCAACAACTTGCCAATACACATAATATGTTTTGTCTGATGGTGGGTGTTTATTAGCATAACAATATTGTTCATATGCTTGTGAAATTGTTAAAGGTAAAATATAAGTATCAGTGAAATCAATTGATGGTATGGTGATAGCAGCACCTTGTGCTGATGTCCATGATGGATTCTTTACACGTTCAATAAACCGTTTACGCAACTCTTCAACAACAAAATTTTGATAATCTTCGCGACATTTAGATGGAGGTATTGGGCCGTGTGGGTTTTGCGGTTGATTGGCTATTCCATCATGTGGTACTCGAGTAATGGAATTTTTAAAAGTTTTATTCATTGTTCGTTGTGATGTTTTGCTAAGTGCGTCATATAAATTCTGTGGAATATAAATATGATCAATATAACTCAATGGAATGAGCTGTGGCAAATGTCCTTCAATAGTTAAATGAGAATCAACATTAAGCCAACGTTCAAGAATCTTATCAAGAGTGATATTCATTGTGGTTAATTTAAAATGTTCACTTGTAAATGCAATTAATTCAAGAGCAGCTGCATAATCATAGCCTGGGATTGAACAATTTAGTTTTGAGCAATTAAATAATTTGATTCTTTCTTCATGTGCATCTGGAGCAGCGCCTAACCATGGCCGTAATTGAAAAGCATTTCCACTCATGTATGATGTTGCTGCTTGAACTGTGAAATTTGCATCAGGATGATGGAGAATTTCACGTTTGAAAACAATAAAGATATCTCCGTAGTAGTGACCCAAGTGTGGGCCTAGTATACTAAAGACTGTTTTATCAGTTTCTAGATCTTTGTCTTTGCTAAAACCAATACCTGCTGGATTCATATGAAGATTGATGGAGGCTTCAGCAATTTCATGAGATTTTATACGTATGGCTTCCAAATCTTTATCTTTTAACACGCGTGATAAATATGTTTCTTGTTTCTTAAATTCATTTTCATAGAATGCTGCAGTAGCATGAGTGTCTGGTGCTAAAATGGGGCTTCCAGCACTATCAGTAGTTGCTTTTGCACCACTAAATCCATTTTTCGCAAAATGATATCGAACCAACGTAGTAATGTATTCCTTAGCACGACCAGCAATTACTTTCTCTTGTAATTCTTGAATACGCCGTATTCGACTATGTTGTAGAACAGAAGTGGCAACAAATGTTGGATTTTTCAAGTTTAACATATACTTTCGACTCATAACATGTCCATGAAGAAGAATCGATTCAAAAATAACTAGATTACATCGATGAACAGGCTGAACAGTACGTATCCAACTGATGATCTCACTTGGAATAGTCCATGATGGTAGTAGATTCCATTTTCGACTTGTTACATAAGCAATGATACGTTCAATAATATCCTTTTGATTTTGTACAAAATTAATATCTTTGTTCAAATTAAAATAGCTCAAGATACCACTATGTTCAAATTTAGCGGCATGTCGATACTCAGTAACGTGTTCCAACTTTCGTCGATCAAAGCATTCATCGGCATATTGGCATAATTCTCTTATATCAGACACTTTCGTATGTGTAAATGAATTGAGATGATCTTCACTGGTAAGTTTTGTACATTTGATGTCATCGGGGCATATATGTCGAGCAATGTGTATGGATTTTTCTAAGTGCAGTTTACTCTTATCACGACAATTACGACCAACTGGACAAATATGAGCATAATCGAGATAATGTTGTTGAATATCATGATGAAGTGTGTTCGGATCTGTACTTTTTATAAATTCGATATATAATTTACAATTGAATGGAGTAAATGGACACGGTGTAGGAAATGGATGTTCGAACTTATCTTGATGCTCTTTATCATGAACATAAGCACAGCTACTTCCATAAGGACAGTTCAATGCACAATGACGAAAATTTTTACAATGATCTGGAGTGTGCATTTTAAAAGAGACACATCTCAGACCTTCTGGACATAATGGTAAATGTCGATATTCTTTCAAATGCTCCTCACTTACATCATTGCATGTGCCTTCTTTTGGACAATTTGATGGATGTTCATATTCTTGAGTGTGTTTGTTATCATTAATCTGTCGGCATTCACCACCATATTGACATTGATTTCGATGTATGAATGAGCTCATATGTACAAATTGATTGGTGAATTCACATTTACCTTTGACAGCCACATATGGACAACGAGGTGGATGAGAATACTCTTGAATGTGTTTGCGACTATGAATATCAGTACAAGTAGCTCCAAATCTACACAATGGTTTGTCTGATATACGCACGTCACTCACAGACAACCCATCAGATAATACCCGATAAGGGCCGAATATAGTATGTGCCACATTCATTGGCAATAATGGTGTTGCTACCATTCCGTCAAGAATAGTTTGGAATGGTCTAAAATTGCCTTCTGGATTGAAATGGCGACCTGCATTATGATCATCAAGAATAGCAAAAGTAATCAATCTGAAAAAACCAGCATATTGTTCAATTACCGATTGAAAAAGTTCTGCCACATGACTTGGTGGATTCTTAAAGGCACCACAACCAAGAGCTGATAGTACTAGACTGTCATGTTTATGATGAAACGCAATAGCAAAGATATTTTCAATTTTTTTTCGTGTCCCCATAGCATATTTTTGTGCAAGCATATTTCCATCTAATTTTGGATCTCGATAAGCAGCCATAGCCAAAGAGCAGACATTTTCAAGTGGTTCTTCCATAAAAGCATAACCAGTTTCTTCAGACTGACGAAAAACGGTCAAACCCGATGTGTAAATAGCACCATATTCATGCATTGGATACATACTGTTGTGATCAGAAAGAGGATCAAGTTGACAATTTGATGAACAATAATACCGTGCACTCCGTTCGGGAAGCCACTGATCAAGACCAACATCGAGACTTCGAAAATAATCGGATCGACGGAAGAGATTTTCTTCTTGTGCACCATCGCCCTTTCGATAGCCACCACCAGGATTCGATGCATTAGCCATATTGAGAAGAAGTGGCTTATAGTTACTTTTAACCAGACGTTCATAAACAATCAAACAGTCTTCGTTGGATACATCAACACGTGTCTTAGAATACGGTGGTTTTGTTATCGGTAATTTTCCTGCTTGTTCCAATGTTGATCGTTGATCATAGATTATTGTTTTCATATGTTTATCTATTTTCAATTGGAATCTTTGGTCATGTATCATATAGTTCTTATTACGTACAACTCCAAGTGTATTCAACATCACTGTCACTCGTAGTTGATGACGGGTTATATCGCTCGGAGTATCTCTTCGATCGCGCATCTGTTTCTCATTACGATTGTCACTAATTGTATTTTTAAATTGTTTGAACCATATCTGTGGATTCCATTTATATCGAAATATGTCATGATTAGGATCAGAAATAAATTGCATGATATCAGGCTTGTAGCGAGGCATTTCTGTTTCATACCATGTATCTCCATCAATTTCATTTGTTTCTGGATCGATAGAAATTGTATAAGCACCCGTACGAAAACATTCGTTATGATTGACGCGAAATACTCCGCGCGTTAAAAATTCGTTAAAAATTGTTTCATCTGACAGTTCAAGAACAAGATTGTTTCCATGCTGTTTATAATCAAGCACTTTTCCTTTAAACTCTTCGTGTTTTATTATCTTTTGAATATCAAATGATGAAGGAAGAGAATAAATACACAGACGACAAGTAAGTTTATTCTGCTTTGGGAATATTTTGCCATCGATTTGCAAGTAACTTTTTGTTGACCAAATTTGTGCTGTATTCGTTGCAAGAATGCATGCATTGCGTGTTTGTTTGTTAAGTTGAATGTAAATTGATGTTAATGAAACATTTGGCTCTTGAATTTCTATACTAATCGCCTTTCGTAATTGATCTTCCGTTATTGATTGAGGTAGATCCTCGAGAAAACTACAATGAGTACACAAATAGACTTGAGCGAGTCGATCTTTAATTGTAAAATCTCGATATTTCATGGCTTTAAGTAATTCATCTAATGACGTGACAACAATCTTATAGATATTCAAAAATTCAACATTCAGTTGTTCGCATATACTTGGTCTTTCTCCTTTGTATATTTCCATCCAGCGACGACGGATCTCTTCGGTTGTCGGTAAAATAATATTCTTGTTTTCTTTGACAACCTCAATTACAACGTATGAAATCAGTTCAAGCTCTCGAACGAACGAGATTACAGCTTTGCCAAATCCTGGATCCAAAGCTATCTGTTTCACTTCATAGATAAATCGATCTCTTATTTCATCTGTGTCAACGTGAACTATTCCAACGCCTAATTTTGAGTAACACTCTATATCACCAACTTTCAATTTCATAACCTTTTCAATACGATGACGAATTTGTTGTTCTAGTTTCACATTGTCATCATTATTCACAGGTGGTAGATCGGGAATGTACACGATTGCATTATTTTGAGGTAATCTTCCAGATACGATTTCTTTTGATGACTTTTTCTTCGCATCGGAAACATATGCGGCTGATGTTGCTTTCGTTGTAGGCGTATCCTCTTTTCTTCCATCCGTAGAGCGTAAACCAGACGCTGTTTTAGGGTCCGAAGTTCTGTTCGAATTAACCTTTCTAGATGTCTGCATATGAACTTGATGGTAGTGTTGCTCTTCACTGCTGTCTCTTCTCTCTTTACGACCCGTTAAAGATTGATAACTTCCATCTATAATAGTAAAAATGTTCAGTTAGAAGTTTTTATAAAAAGTCTTGCGGGTATTGTAGCCATCTCCCACTCATACACACACCCTCAACAGGTAGAGTTCAAAAAGTGTGGGATTTTCATAGTTTTCGTGGATAGAAGCTATTTTTTAAGTCTGAATACCTAGTGATGAAGACATTATCTTGAGAGATTGTAACTGTCTAGCGAACACCTAAAGGCATTGATAAACTCGAGCTTGTTCACATCTTACTAGTTTCTACGTTATACGCACACTTCTGATGCAAAAGTAATAAGATAGTCCGAAGATTTTAATCGTAAGTAATAACTTGATTTTGATACGAACCTTTCCCTTCGTCACGACTCTGATAATGTCTTTGTCTCTCGTCATCCGATTGTGATTCTTGATCGTCAGTACTGTCACTAGCTTTTCCTGCTGACATCACAGGCCGAGCCACAAATGCACCACATGATTCACACCTTTTTGCTGATGACGTATTCTTCATTGAACAACTTTCACAATACCAACTTTTCGCTTTATCACTCTTGTGGTAATACTCATCAGTCGGGTTCGATGCAGCATTTATGCTTCTTATTTTTTTCTCCTGCAAATGTAAGAAGAAGAAGAAGATGATAAAACTATTATATTGCGATGGATAAAAAGTCTCAATAACAAAACTCAGAGGAATCGTAAGTTCTCACCAAAACCTTTACCCATAGTTTTAATTCTTCGGATCACAGTAGTACATTATAAATCAAAAAACGATAAAAATGAAGGTAAGAAATAAATATAATACTAACACTTTTATCTTCAATTAAATAAAGAATACTTAACATACACGTTCTACTGGCTTATCAGCATGTTGAACCAAGGATGTAGACATGCTTGTAGCTTCATGCTTTTTAAGTGCATTGACCAAACCTAATGATTTCTTACATATTACGCAATCCTTCTTAAGCTTCTGATTGACACATTTTTGAGCACAACTGCGATGAAATATATGGTTGCATTCAGTTGTAACTTTTGCTTCATCTGTTTGCAATGAAAACTTACATATAAAGCATTCATTTTTGATGAATGATGCAGACATTGTTAATATAAAGCTTTAAAATTCTTTTATGTATGTATGTTTTCGACAGATTGTTTTTACAAGTTGCAACGTTATCGCGAAATGATAAAACCGCCATCATGTTGGAAATTTTTCTTTCGAGTATAAAAAGGAAGAAAAAGAACAAAACAAAATCTACACTCTCAAACTAAAACCAAGACATTCATGAAGAACTCCACCAATGCAGGAGCAAGAAAAAAGTATTGAGACAATAAAAGCAGCGCGATGTTAACATGCCGATAGTAATTGACAATAAAGAAAAAAACCTATACTAAAAAGAAATATATATAAATAACTGAAAGGAAATTGTATATTATGATCTTAAGGGTGGGTGTGGGTGTGGGCGTGGGTGTGAGTGTGAGTGTGGATGACGATGTGGGTGTGTGCTTATCTTACTCATACCTACACCCCCACCCACCCACACCCGCACCACACCCAACGCTTTCACTCAGTAGAATATTTTTTTTTCATTCCATTATTGTTTTATTGCCAAGCATTCAAGTTTCTCTCATCATATTAAATTACTTGTTTATCACATTTCTTTTCTTGGATTTTTTACCTTAATATGCTTGCGTAGTTGGAAGAAAAAAACAAAAGGATAACATGGGGGTGGGTGTGGGTGTAGGTGGGTGTGGAGGTGGTGTGGATGGGTGTGGGTGTGGGTGTGGGTGTGGGTGCGGGTGCGGGTGCGGGTGCGGGTGCGGGTGCGGGTGCGGGTGTGGGTGAGAGAGTAGCTGAGCGTGAGTGTGGGTGTGAATGTGGGTGTGGGTGTCGATGTGGGTGTTGTGGGTTTGGGTGTGGATATAGATAAAGACAGTAGTAACATTCATACCCATATCCTTAATTCTAGAATATGCGGCATCACAACTTCTTAAACTCTTTCAATTAAATCCGTTTTCAAAAAATGAGATGTACGACTGCAACTAATCATTTATTCTGCAAATAAAAAATTAACGATCTTCAATTAAGATTTCATGATGAATAGATCTTATCTAGATTCCCTTTCCTAATCCTAACATACAACCAAAATCAAAATTATTTTGAATGATGATCATAAGAAGTTTTCTTTCAGAAAACAGTCAGCGAATCCATCGAGTGAGCGCTACTTGTTTGTTAATTGTTCAAATAACTTCGTTTGATTTAATGATGATATTCCTTTATTTATATAAAAATCTCAATATGAAATATTAGCTGAAATTTGATTTGGTATGTAACATTCCTCATCATTCTGATTAATTTCTTCTTTCATTTTTATAAATTATGTTAGAAATGAATAGAAATAAATAATATATACTATATTTCTTAGAATAGTATTCGTTGTTTCTTTTCCAAGAACGTGTTTATATTCGTAGTCTCTCTTTTCTCTCCTCGCTGTCGCTCTAGAGATCTCTTATTCCGCATCATTTGAAAATAATTTCTACGTCCCATGCCACGTTCGATAACTAAATTTTGAATTATTTTTCAAATATATATATTCGACAATGTCCAGATTCAGAGGTGATTTTTTTAAAGATTTAAGAAAATTCTTATACATGGTAAGTTGATTTATTATAAACTTTATTTTATTAAATAAATTTTTATTTTTAGATTTCGGAATTAAAAAGTCTGAAGGAGAGGGCCGGAGAAAATTATCCATTAGCCCATGATGAAAAACAAAACAACAACTTAAATTAGAGGTACAAATAGCCGAAAATTTAATAGAATATGTTGGTAAGTTTAAAATAATTAAATCTTTTTAATTTATTTTATTTATCTATTTAAAAATTTTTCTTAATGAAAAAAAATAGAAGTATCACTTGACGCCCTTCAACTTCAACCAGCTCCACCAACTAATTCATTAGCAGCACCGGAAAATATCGAAAAAACATTCGACAAAGTACTTGAACAAAAATAAAAGTTTTTTTTATTTCCTTTTTTTATATTTCCCTCTCACTTGATTTTATTCTTTTGTTTCATTAAGCAAGTATTTATATAGATTTTCTAGTTTAATATGATTATAAAGCAAGAGATCAAATAGATTTATGATATTATATTGAAGAAAGAGTTAAACATATATATGATCATTGAACTAATCCGATAGAAAACAAAACAAATCATTTATACATTTCAATATATATAATTAATAATTTTAAATGACAAAACTTTTATATTAAAATGGAAATAAAAAAAATTCTTTAATTAGTTACAAATAAATTTTGTTGATATATAATCGAATAAATCGTTATTGAATCATTATCAGTTGAGTTCATGGTAATTTTAATCGATTTAATGAATATTATCATATAATTATGATTATTTTGCAAACAAGATACATTTGATGGACATAAATATAGTTTTGATCTTTCAATATCACATTCATTTCCATAACCAACAAATATTGTTCGACATGCATCACCTTCTATTGATCGAATAATATCCTTGTTTTGCTTCTTTTTCATTTTTCCATGAAACAATCAGCATCCTAATTTGTTTTATTTCATCTGAATCTATTGTACGAAAATAAAAAGAATGTTACATTCTTGATTTAATACGACGTGGATGAATTGATCTTGGTTCTTTAATATTGTGTTGATGATAATCAATCGAAGCTAGTGCTTTACCAACATAAATTGTTGTTTTATCAACTAATAATATATAAAAATCATTTATTATCTGATCTTTTATATTTTCATTATTATGATTTAAAAGAAGCAAATCATTATCAATAAAAGCACGTGTTTATATACGTAGTTTCTCTTTTCTCTCCTCTCTCTCTCTAGATATTTCTTATTTCATATCATTTTGAAATAATTTCCACGTCCCACACCATGTTTGATAACTAAATTTTAATTTTTTTTTCAGATAAAATTTATGTCATCGTCAAAGTCCGTCTTTTTAAATAATATCGTGAAAAATATTTACATCGTAAGCTGATTTATTAAAAACTTTATTTTATTAAATACATTTTTATGTTTAGTTGTCGGAATTAAAAATTATTAAGGAGCAAGCTGAAGGAAAACTTCCATCAGCAGATAATGATAAACAAAAACAACAACTTCAGTTAGAAATTAAAATACCAGGAAATTTATTAGAATATGTTCGTAAGTTTAAAATCATTAAATATTTTTAATTTATTTTTTGTATCTATTGTAGAAATGTATTACGATGATGTAATAAATAATTCAATTGAACACAAACATATGGACGAAACAATCGACAAAGTTGCTAAAACATGATTATAGAATTATCCCATGTTTTCTTTTCTTTCTTTTCTTTCTCTTCTTTCTTTTCTATAGGTATCTTATGATCTTTATTTCGTTGTGTAGCCACGCTATGTTAAATCACAAACCAAGAGTAACTGGTTTCTTATGTTAGATCCGAAGTATACAACATTACCCTCGGCGAAACTTAAAAACATAATCAAGTATGCAGCCTATGACTGAATTAGTTTTGCATATCTTCGATTACTGGCGATACAGCATTGGTCGCTAGTACATTTACAATCATGTTTAATTGTGAAGAAAGAGTTATCGTCAGTGTTACGCAAGGTGAAGGAGATGGGTGTACAACCAAAATAACAACAGAGCCTCTGGGCCCATACTTATTCTTTCGTGTTCGATCTTTATTGTACCATCATGATTACAACACGTACGATGATAGTGGTAAGCCTCAATTAATAATTCTTACAGAATTCTTGATGATGATTTTTCAGAACAGTTATTTCAGACGTAGTATTCCGTGAAATGTGCGGAATACCACGCAACCGACCGTTTCTGTGCTGGAATGTTCAACCTGGATTTATATTCCATCATTAATACCTAATCATTCATTAGGAAATTATGGATTATTTTTATTTATTTTTAGAAATTAGTTTTGGTGGTAAAGTTGATTACCCTTTTGTTGATATGGAATACTCTTGTGTGGCAAATTATTTAAATATGGAAATAAGTTGGGATGCTGGTTTCGGAACTTTAGTTATAGCGAAAATGGAGGTGTAATTAATAAATCCGCCTTTATCTGGAAATTATTATGAATGGCAATTAGATAAAGATGCTATTGAATGTATTAAACTGAATGCAGAACTGTCACAACTTGAACAACTTAATGAAATTCGGGCAATGATTCCATCGAATGTATTGTTTATTAAGTGAGTAATTGTTAGCATCAATGGTTTTTACATTATGACGTTATCTCATGTATATATATGTGTTTTCTTTTCTTCTTTTCTGTGGAGTAAGTATTGTTCGTGGTCATCATGTTCTCATAAAGATCTTCATTATTATGTCCTTTCTCCTTTCTCTATTATTTTCTTCATTTTGTTTCTGTTTCTCTCTATGTCTTTGTGATACATATAAAGAGTTGTTTTTCTTCATTTTCACCAGTGTTCCTCGTTTCTCTATTTTGTTCTTATTTATCTTCAATAAACGTGATCATTATTATTTTCATCTTTATCTTTTATATTCTTACAGATTACAGTAGGCTTGATTTCCCATAGTGAGATTTCTCGACAATAATCTATCCAGAGTATTTAGATTTCACTTTGATCTTCCAACTATAGTTTAGGTTAAAGTACATATAAACATCCCCAGAGTGAGAATCTCACAGTAATTTTGAATTTATCTTATTCATCGTGCTAAAATTGGTATTAATGGATTTAGTCATATTGATCAACTTACATTTCGATGTGTGATTGAACAAGGTATTGAAGTTATTGCTATTAATGGTTGGGTGTGGGTGTGGGTGTAAGGGTAGGTATGGATGTGTATCTGAGAAAAGAAAACAAATGCCTTCACCCACACCCACCCTTTTTTTCGGATATTTATATTCGACAATGTCCAGATCCAGAGGTGATTTTTTAAAGATTTAAGAAAATTCTTATACATGGCAAGTTGATTTATTATAAACTTTATTTTATTAAATAAATTTTTATTTTTAGGTACGGCAATTGGAACGATTAAAGAATAATTCAGAGGAAAATAGTCGGTCATCGGATATATCAGAAGATCAACAAGCACAAAACAGACTCGAGGTGGAAATTACAGAAAAATTCATCCAATATGTCCGTAATTTTAAAATCATTAAATATTTTTAATTTATTTATGTATTGTAGGGATATACTATAATGAAAAAATCGATGAATCTATACATGCATTAAGTATAGAAACGGTTGGTCCAGTTTCATCAACTGCACCACTTGCTGAACATATGGAAGAGACAATAGATAAAGTCCTCCAACAATAGTTATGGACTATTCCATATAGTTTTTTTCTCTCTTTTCTGTCTTTCTTTTCTCTTCTTTCTTTTCTGTGTCAAATAAATTATTTAACAAAAGAGAGATTTAACAATATCTTCATACATCTTAGTAATTCTCTCAATTAGAAAAATCAAAATACAATTTTTGAAAAGTTTAAAACCGATTTTCGATGATCCAGTCTCTTTTTTTTCATAGAAAAATAATTTGAAATTCATAATCAGTGTTAAAAACTGCTTCTCGTATGCAGAGATTGAAACGAATACGTAAATGTTCTGGGTCGAACATGGGTCAACTTTTCATCTGATAATATTGTTTTACTATTTATATTATTTAATGTATGAAGCGAGTACTGACATCTTCATTTGATTCAATTCGATTCGATCCCAGTTTTTAGAAATCTGTATTCGATTCGACTCAGCCGAATCGAATCGAATTATTCACTTGTTTAATTCATTTTCGGTCTCTGCTGGTAACCTATTCAGATTTATTTTGATCGACGAAATCTGGTGTTACGGGGACAGGCCATAGTACAGAATGATATGATTGAGTTTGATGAATATTATACGCTTTTTATCTGACTAATATCGTTGATATGTGTAACAATAATAATTCGTGATATATGTCTGCATGAATATATATATTGTCATTCAAGTACGAACAAAAGAAAAAAATGCTATTTTTTATTCGTTCTTTTTTGTTATTATCATTATATCTAATCTCACCTGTGTATATGTAATACAAAAAACGATTTGCTTCCTTCACGTACTGTTTTTCTCTTTCATGTTATGAAATAAATTTATATGTATATATTTTCATTTTAGATTAACGTTTTCTTTCCTAGACACATATTCATTATTATTTTTATACAATGGCATCACCAATACCAAAAACTACAGCATTTTTGACGGTAACTTTTCATTTATTGTCTAAAATATTCGTAAATGATGTTTTTCTTTTTCGAAGGTTGAAGAATATCGTAAATTAATTAATACAAATTTTCAAAGTAATTGTTCGATTATTTTCTTTTATAAATGAATTATGATTTTGTTTTTTCAGAGGAAATTTCCGAAGGTCAATTGTATGATTCACGAGATCTTCAACGTTTTAATGAAAACGATCCATATACCTTAATGTTTGTTCAACATGGTCAATTTGGTACAGCTCTTGATGAAGGTCGAGCATTACGTGTATTCAATGGAGCAATGAGTTGGAGAAAAAGACATAATGTTTTTGGTAAAAATTCTTTATCATTTATATAAAAAAAATATTTTTATAAATAATTATAGATATCTCTTCAAGTGAAATTCCTGCTGAATATATTAATCGTCATGCAATCTTTTTTAAAAATCATGATAAATACAATAGTCCATTACGTAAGAGAATATTTAATATAATTACTTATAAATATTTGTTTTTCCTTTTTGATATTTTTAGTTCATTTTGTTGTTCGATTAATGGATAAAGGAAAAGATGATAAGGAAGCAATTAAACGTTTGATAACATATACTCTTGAGCAACATATTCGAGAACATCCAGGTCAAAAAGTTGTTATTCTTTTTGATATGAGTGAAACAGGTATTGGACATATGGTAAGTTTATGAATAGAAGAAGAATTTTTTTTATAATTTCTATAATTAGGATTATGAATTGGTAAAATTTATTATTGGCAGTGCACAAAATTTTTATCCAGGATTATTATGTATAGTTAAAGAGTATTTCTATATATTTTTATTGTCTTCTTTTTTCTTTATAGCTTATATGCTTATTTATAAAATGCCATGGCTTTTATCAGGTAATATATAGATGTCGTAATATGATTTTTAAGAAAAATATTTTTTTTGTTTCTTTTTCTTAGCTGCTTGGAGAATAATTAAAGGTTGGCTATCAACTGAAGCTGAACAATTTGTTAAATTTGTCGATGAAAAATCAATTACAGAATATGTTTCACCTGATCAATTATCACCAGCAATGGGTGGTACTGCAGCTACTAATTAATCATTTTTATTTTCTTTATAACATGAACAAAAAGACTACGGAGCATTTATTTTTGCTTAATACATTTTATACGAAATCATACAAAACGATCATATCTCAGCAATAGCATGATTTAATAAATAAAAAAAGATATTGCATACTAAAGCGCATGAAAATATAAATATGTCAATAATTTTATCAGCAGTTATTTATGTATTTTTTTTACACCGCAAAATAAAGAAAAAATTTCTGATCTAAACTAAACCACCAGCATTATTTTTTGTATAACGGTCATATATAAGATTTTCAAATTAAAATTGAAAGAACAGCTGTTTTTTT